TTTGACCTATGCCAAACGTCATAAGCTTATCATGAATACCAAAGGTCCCTGGCTCCTTCGCGCCAGATAAAGCCTAAGCTCGACTCTACACATGAGACACAACTCAACTGCCGTGACACCGACCTCACAGAACGGACACATGGGATTTTGTAATGCAAATATGAACCAGTGTAAATAACACGCGCAAAAACAATCACAATTACAAAGGTCCAATGAGATGCGAGGCACACATTGCTGTGGGCACTTGTTTTTATTCCATACTGGCACAAACAACAGTAAATGAGTCAGACTACTGACTAAAATAAATGTATCACGTGCGCATTAATTAAAATGAAGCATGCTTTCCAACATATCACAAATGCTGCCAAAAGAGAGACAGGTTGCCCACTTAGCATCATAGACCACTGAGGCAGATGCTGTTTGTGAGCACCTATTAAGGCCACCACGGCACGGGAGGAAGTGGTGTGGCCTATAGCAGCACGCCTGACCACATTTGTCTTCCCGATGCTAGTGATTATACACCAGAGCAGGTACTTACTTAAGGCTGAGTTGATACCACGTGCCACAAATGTTGCACATCTTCACCAATAATCTAACCCAGGTGTGCGGGATTGCAGAACGGTGCGTCAACCACTGTGCCACCGCTCCCCGCACACACACACGGAAACTTACTTAACGAATCTCATACACCATACACATGAAATGTAGCTTGTACTTTAATATCAACCACTGTCGCAACAAATAAATTATGTCCTCGCCACACTTGCATTGCTATGGCTTAACGAAAACAGCGTGCGTTCAAATGAACAACGTACATACACCGCCTCCACTGGGTACGTCGCTACACAGAACACTCTCAGGTAAATTCGGCCTGAACCGCAACCACAACACAAACACAACACAAACACGACGCAAGGTAGCACGGTTCCAAAGCTGTCCGCTCGGGGCACAAGCAGTGTTGGAAGGGCTACGTTTGAAAAATACACGTTTGTCTGATAACAGGTTAGCAGAGTTTTTGCAGGTAACGCAATGTAATCCCGTTATAACAATGGAGTACATTTGGGATCCGTGCCATTCGTCTCGCGCAAAGCTATCACGAAGGGGGTTATGTTTCACACGTTCATCCTGCAATGGTTTCACACTAGGGGAGCAATGCTGCTACGTGTAAATCCCATGTGAGTAACTGTGCAGGTCATTTTTCAAATGCACACCATGACGCTGGCAGTCGAAGGCCCACTATGTTTTTGTGAACGGCACAGAATCTTGAACGTTAATTCACCCTCAGAATTAACCAGGAGGGCCTAGCAGATTAGAACTGCGACCATCTACAGCAAGTGGCGTACGCGCCGCCGCTGGGCCATGCCTGTTACTTACGTGATATTACTCTCTCCGAATTAGCGTATTTCACTTTCATTACATTTTAGTGATAACAGCAATTTGTTGTCACTGTAGCCACTGCTGCCCTCGTGTTAACTTGAGCGGATGACACAAAAATGTCCCCCTTTGGCCTTTGGAATAAAACAAACTGAAAGTATTTGTAAAACAATCAACTGGTATTTGATCAATTATGATAATCTGATTGCATACTGAATAGAGAAATAGTATCAGATGACTGATATCTGGCTCAAGTGATGCGATTACTTATAATGTGCTACTCCCCAACTCCACAGCACACTTCTGTTTGCACACCGGAATCTTGAAAACAAAAGAGAGTGGTAGTTTTGGCAATTTAACAAAACAAACATCCAGTAAAATGTTACTATTACTCCCAACAGTAAGCGATTCACATTTTATGCAAGTTTTTTTTATGGACTCCTAGGAAAAGCGGATGGAGAAACCCCCAGATATGTGACAACGTTTGTCCTGCCTTTGTCTGGAGTAATAAGAGATAACAATAGATGAATTCTAATTCCCATGCGAGAAAAAAGCTTGATCACACTGTGCTGACGGAACTCTGGAAGTAAAGACCTGGCCAAAAATGTTCGGCTTAAACAAATGTGGCTGGGAAACAGTGGTTAACATAACCCGATGATCCACTAGAATGTTGGTTGCATTTTAATTGTGTGTGATTAAACAGTGCCGTCAATTGAATATTACCAATCATACACGAGACTCCATCCAGCTATTCCACTATCTTCAGCAGAAATCCCATATTAACGCCAAGCCTGAAAGTTAGTCATCCCATTCAGTAGTCATTTTCCTGGACGAGGTCACCAAAGACCACGCCTCACTGTCAGAGAAGCAGCAGAACTCCGTCCGAGGGCTCTGCCCGTTAGCCATGACTCCCTAACCAGTGTCATTTCTGAGTGTTTTAAAAATTAAACATTCTACGCATGGTTATTGCTTGGAGGTTGTAATTATAGCTAGGGCTATGCCAAGATCCTGTGTCAATTGTTTCATGGAGAAGACGGTCCATTAATAAATTCAACCAACCGATGGAATTGCAAATTAGCATGTTATTATTCTTACAAGCCAGTCAGACATCACAGTCTCCCCCTCATCGAGTGAATGTGGGGAGGCTCTCATCTCCATTAGCCTTACCCCGAGCCTTGAGCCAGTTGTGGAAATTCCATACCCTACAGCGGGAGTCAATCTCCATTATGGCAACCGATGTCGACTTCCAAATAGGGAGTACTCTTTTTATCGCTCCTGCAGGGATGATAAGCCTGGTCGACTCCTTGTTCAGCATTGTCAGTTGAGAGCTTTAAAGCACAGAACCACCCAGTTAGACATTAAGAGTTTCGTTCTAACACCTCCACGTGCCTCTACCACAAACTGCGCTTTACAGACGCATGAAAACCCAGTTGCAGGGGAGGGACTGCAACACTTTGCGCACACATTTACATCGGTGTAAAACACATTTACATTTCCTCAGGGTAGCACTCCTGAAGGACAGGGGGGGAAGGGGGGACTTCTACACATTTCACAATGTGTCTGGGTTACGTTGGCCACCGTCCACAGCTCATGTCATGGGTTTGCATCAAGCAAACCCCAGGTGCAGTGACCAAACTGGATCTGTATATAGTTATTGCTTAGGCTCTTAGGTGAGAAACTTCCCACGATGGGTTTTGCAGCTTAAAACATAATTCCGTACATAGCGTTACGTCAAATATTGTTGCATGGTAAATGTGTGCCATAGCAACGAATGGTAAATATTTAATATTTCATTGCTATGGTAATTCATGTTCAGGAATGTCCTTTCACAATGAACCTATTCACGGAAAACACCACCACCACCAATGTTCCGCCAAGGTGGCACGAACACATTAATGCATGCGATGCCATTTATTACGGTGGCTACGAGATCGTAACCCAGCAGGCACAGAATGAGTCACCGATCGCATGACCTGGGTAACTGCCACATTTTTGGGTCGTGATTCCGAGTCGCGTTCTCATTCGTCCTGCTCGTTGCCATCTCCACTGTAACCATCCACCTCCTACAACCTCCTACGGTCTCGGTCATGTTTGTCTCCCCGACTCTTCAGTGCCATTAACCTGAATGTGATGTGTGCATAGAGTGCGCATGAATCGTTCATAATTCGTGACTATGCGCACAATTCAATGCACGTGTAAGAGCATAAATAATCGAGATTTGCATGCCTAATAGTAAACCACCAAAGCAAATCATGCATGGCTAAGGCTGTAAGATCGTGGTTCGCTCAAATTATTGATGAAAAAAGCTTACATGAATTATGACACTTCCACCTTGACTTGAATATGAGTGTGTTAAACTCTTAATCCAATAATGGCAGGAATCTTTAATGAGCGTGTTAAGGTGTTTAACAGTTCAGTGGAATGATTTATGTAATATATTTGCTCCCTAACGCAAACAGGTAATAATGACTCCACGAACTATAAAAACTACCCCCTCACCAAAAAACTGGCAGGCTTGCATTCGATTTATGCAAACATATAAAATGCGAAACTCTTGTGAAACCTACAATTTGGGATTGGACTAATGGCAGGGTTTGGACAAAATAAGAACAACGGGGACTACACTGCAAAGTAATAACGCCTCATCCCAGGTATTACATTCATGTTTAGAGCACGCAGACGTGTTAAACGTTCCATTTGAATCCTGCTTGTGTATGTAGCAAAGACAAAGATCCCCCGTGCTGTTAGCGAGCGCCTATGAAGGCCGGCACGGAACACGGGGGGTTTGGGTGGCCAGCACCACGACCGACCGCCTTCGTCTCCCCAGTGGCGATGTTTACACACCGCACCAGGTACCAATTTGAGACCGAATCGTCCTCGGGGAGGCCCAGGACCGGTTCAGATAATCGTTACTGGTGTTGGCCGTAAGAGGGAATCGAACTCGAGATGACCACAAATTGCTAGTTTAACAACATCAAAAAGGAAAATGAATGACAACAAAGACATATTTATCAAGTGATGTTTATCCACAGTTTAACCAAACTAGTTACCCACAGTAATACGGCCCATGTATTTGAGTACCATTCCACCATGTGTAACGAGATCCCTGGTGCATACATCGACGTGAAATTCTCTACAGCACTGACACTGCAGTTTGTACGGTTGGCACAGTTTGCTTGGTAGGAGTCTTTACTTTAACTTCACAGTGAGTCTTTTTCTGTAATTGATCATCACGGTGATGCAATCTCAAAATGCACTCATCAGTGTCTTAATTTCATAGCTAAATAAAACAACGTAACACAGTGCATTTCAGATTAAAAAAAAACCATTCGGGTGATTAGATGGCAGAACGATCGTTGAAGCCACATAGATGTATTCTTAGGTGTTTTCGGTAAAGTCACGTAGGTAAAACATCTAAATTAATAAAAATAATAAAATAAAAATCACGACGTTTCGGAGGCAACACAAGTCTCCGTCATCAGGTGGGACAGTCACAGCCAGATTAGCTGCATCAAGTGAGGCTAATCTGGCTGTGACTGTCCCACCTGATGACGGAGACTTGTGTTGCCTCCGAAACGTCGTGATCTTTATTTTATTTTATTATTAATTTTGTTGTTTTACCTACGTGACTTTACCGAAAACACCTAAGAATATGATTCCTTGCAGTCAGGAAAGCTTCAAGTCTAGAGCCACATAGATGGTTTTGTTGCTAGGGTATAGTGACGAGGCCTAGTGTGGCTGTGAGGACAGCCTTGCCAAGGTCCCGATCGGTGCTTGTGGGCCACAGGCCGAAAACTATTTGCTTTGTTTAGGGGCCGTCCATAAATGACGTCACGCACCTAGGGGGGGGGTGGGTCAGACATTTGTGACGATGTGTGCCGAAGGGAGGGGGGGGGGGTGAGAAATGTGACGTCACATCAAAATGCGCAACTTTAAATAAATATAGACAACGCGTTCGACTTAATTAAATAGACTTTTTAATAACATTTTCTCCTACAACATCAGAGTGCAGCGCCACATTAAATACGCACTGCAATGACAATAGTTTAAAGCGATTTGAAGCATGTTTTATTTGGGGGGGGGGGGGGCAGAGCTTTGTGACGTCATATTTGAGGGAGGGGGGGTCTGACTTTTTGTGACGCCGTGTGACGAGGGAGGGGGGTCAAAAATAGTCCAAAATCGCGTGACGTCATCTATGGACGGCCCCTTGTGACAAAATACATCGAATTCATATTCAATGCGATAGGCTAACACAGGTTCAGACATGGATGCACACAGTCACATACACAGGCATACACCACTAATCAGCAGATATGTATACACATGCTGACACAATGGTCTCCCATTTGGCCGATAGACTGTTAAAGCAAGCGCTGTTACAAGCACTGTCTTATTAAGGCGAGCAGAAGAGCCTGTTGAGGCCAGGTGATGTGGCTAGAATCACAGATGCCTAGCCACCTTTGTCTCCCTGGTACTCATTCCTGGCTGTATTGATAGAAGGCCCCAGGTCAGGTTCATGGGCATTAACTGCCATTGGTGTTGTGCATGGTCAAAAACCGCACAAGCCTCGCTGCCAATTGCCACGCAGTGTGCAAACAACTAAAACATCACACCAACAAACACATTCATTTAATCGCACATACACACAGTGGAATTTCTGGGACCATTTTCAAGTGGAATATCTCCCAACACAGGAGACACGAGGACATCAGTATTGAGAAGTGATTCGCACACACACGCCTGTAAGGAAAACCACACGTGACAAAAACACAACAGCCTCGTTCACCTGCAGTGTTTGTAGCAAGATGGGTGTAATTTGGTGCCGAGGAGTGTAGAGAACACTCATGAGTGAGCTCAGAGGTCCGGGTCATGCTCAGATTGCAACTGATACTTGCATCAGTGTGAGGAATAGAATTGCAGTGAGAGGTAGCACGGAGCTCCAATCATTAACTCCACTCTATATGCACGCAAAGGCACAAACAGAGGTTCGCATACATATACACATTATCTGCAAACCAAAATCCCCCATACACGCTCACTCACTTACAAACATACAACAGCAGTCAGTGCAATGATTGGTCACAGTTCAGTGATAAAGCTAAAAAAAGGTAGGAATAAAATGTAAAATTGCGTGCCGGACACACACAAACACATAGCAGTGAAAAAATGGGACTCAAAATAATAAAAACGCCTGCATAACACTGAAGACAGAAATTGCACGTACCAAGCGCCAGAGCTCATTGATGTCTTTTCCAGTTTTCTCCTTACTCATTGCAGCTTACTTTTTTATTCAACGTACCCTCGCTTGTGCAGTGTTGGACAATCGTAGTAAAACGCGGACATTCCAGTGACGTCCTTCATGCGAACGAGCTTAAAACAGTTCTTCAATAAAAAAAGTCTCAAGTGAAAAAGTCCGAGTGCTCAAAAGGGCATTTGGACAGCACTAAACTCTATCAGTGGCACCCAGCCAGTGGTATCAGTTCCATACTCCCACGGCAGGGAAAGCCAGTCGAGGACATCCACAGGACATGCACTGTCGACATCCCACAACGTGGGGTTCATTTTGTTGATGATGATGATGACGACACCCAGAGTTGAACTCTCGCGCTCGAAATGTGAGTGGGGTGTTCTTGCAATGGCGTCACCCACTGCAGGACTAACACGAACAACTGAACTCGGGGGTTGTTTTGAAGTCCACTAACTACTGCCGCCCTCCGGAACCAAAGTTTCCATGCACGCCTGCGATTCACATCGTCTTGGGACCGGCGAACGCGCCCGGCAGCACACTATCGGTGGATGAAGCTTCTCCCTCCCCCCACAACCCTGCGAGCTGACGCACCGGCGCCATCAGATGCTGTGTAGGGGTTTGCTGTGCCCGCCGAGCGCCCACGTGTGGCACCCCATGCTGCCCTGGTCGTACGTGCCGCTCAGCGCACGTCGCCGTCGCAGAGCCCCCCACGGAGCGGCGGGGCCACCGAGCGAGGGTCGTGACGTACACGCGGGAAGCATCGTGGGGCCCTCGGGCACGGCTTCCGCCAATGCCGCCGCTGCCTCCACGGCAAGCGCTGGGCAGGCAGATAAGAAGGCGTCTCCACCAGCGTCCCTGCTTGCGTCTCTCCCGGTGTCTCTGCTTGTGTCTCCGGCAATGTCCCTACTTGACTGTCCACCAGCGTCCCTGCTTGTGCCTTTCCCGGCATTCCTACTTGTGACTCTGCCAGTGTTCCTGCTTGTGTCTCTCTCGATGTCCCTCCAGGGATGGGTGCTGCTGAGCTGGTAGGCGTTCAGCTCGTGGGATGTGAGCTGGGTATCGCACGGCTGGTGGGTGCTGGGCTGATGATTCCCGATATAGGTGCTGCAAGGCTCACTGCTGTTGGCTTGGTTGTTGCTCGGCTGGTGTGTGTTGAGCTCAACGACGCTAGATTGGTATTTGCAGGGCTGAGTGCTGCTGAGCTGGAAATTGCTGCTGAATTGGTAGGTTCTGCTGGGCTGATAGGCGATTGCTTCGTAGGTGCTGGGGTGATGGTTACTGGTACTGCTGGGCTGATAGGTGCTAGGTTGATGGTGACTGGTACCGTTAGGCTGATGGTTACTGGTACTGCTGGGTTGGTAGGTGATTGCTTCGTAGGTGCTGGGGTGATGGTTATTCGTACTGCTAAGCTGATAGGTGCTAGGTTGATGGTGACTGGTACCGTTAGGCTGATGGTTACTGGTACTGCTGGGCTGGTAGGTGCTGGGTTGATGGTTGCTGCTAGACTGGTTGCAACCAGGCTGATGGACCTTTCCTGCCATTGGTGAACTCAGAACTGAAACTTGGGGTAGCAGAAGCTTGGAGAGGCCTGTGGATTTTAAAATAACAAGAGCGTCATCACCTGGGCAGTTAAACGGATGCATGTGCTCACTCGAAGCACAGCTCTAAATCAAACGCACGAGCTAAGCACACGCAAGTGTCGATCCTGCTCAATGCACCAACATGGCAGCACTCGTATTTACCGGTGGGCCCAAGTCCAAGGTGAAAATTCTACATTCCCATTCCAGAGGCCAGTCTCTGCATACATAATGATCGCTGTAGATTTCTAACAAACTGTTTCCTATTTGTATCAACCACCCTGGAGGGATTATGGGCTTAGTCAACTCCCTACCATTGACTTTGTGATTGCAAGCAGAGGGCCCAAGCCACAGCACCACCCAACGAAACTTACTGATCATGGTTCCTCACATTTAAAGGAATGTCCAGCCACTTCGCACATCAAATGCAAGCCATTTCAATCACAGGACTTTCCACTGCTGTTAAGTTTGCTTCACGCAACATTGTTATCTGGACTGGCTGAGGCTACCTTGAACAAAGGACAGGTGCAAACCAGGGCACAATCTAATCGCGAAATCATCAACAATAACCAACAACACAAGCCGTGCTTCTTATCTGCGAAGCGTTTTCCATGAAGATTTTTTTTTAACGGATCAAGTGTTGGTCAAAATGTCAGGACCGACAACTCAATTGCTTATCACATCAACACCTTTTGCGTGAACTGGTTCATAAAAAAAGAAAACGCTTGCAGTTTAATAACAGAAGACAACACTGGCGCACAGCTGCACTCCGGTGCTGGTATTTGACATTTCGCTCCCATAGACAAAGCCAATTCAAGAAACATTATTGCTGTTATCTATTACAACTATGACAGTGCTGGTTGTTGCTGGCTTCTTGACGTTTTAAACCCTGGGGGCCTGTGCTCAACAACTGTGTTGAAGAATATAGTCTATTGCACCGGTTAGTCTAAGGGTTTAATTTAGCCCATGGGCCCCTATCTAAGGCTATGGCTGGAGATTAAATCTGCGGGGCCACTGCTAGCTCTTGGAATCTCGCGATAGTCTATTGGCTCTCTGCTATACTTTGTCTCCCCTGTTTTAGTGTAAGGAGCAGAGTAATCACACACCCAAACTGTCCCTCACAGTGAACAAGGTGGGCTTATCTGCATTAAGCCCTCGCAGCGCAAGGCAGCAGGAAGCAATGACTAGATCATAACGATGATTCCTAAGAAGGATAAAACCGGTGTACTCATTGTTCTACTGCTGCATAAAATAATGTGACGCGAAAATTAGAATGTTGGTCTCAAATGAGACTGTGAGCACTGTACATACAGTACGGCGACGTCACGTGACACATTAGGCATGATGAGAGTACCCATCCCATGGTCACAATTTCAACAGTTGCTGTCCATAGATCACCATTTTGCGTGCAGTATTATTACGACTACGTTGATTAGTTTCCAGAAGGTATTCACAGAAAGTGTTAGAGAGTTGGTCTGCTGATAAACTACCTGCATAGTTCTCATTTGGGATGACATATAGCAACATCGTCTCCCTCCTGCACGTTCGCAGGACCCTCCTGAAAAGAGTCTCGAAACAGAGTCGTTCTGTTAAAAAAATATTAAAATTATTTATTAAACTATTTTATTTTACCAGCTAAGGTCCACTGAGCTATGTAGCTATTTTTCAGAAGCGACCTGGCCACAAATGATGGTTCCAACGAAGTGGCTTATCACGACGAAATTTCGAGCAGCCAAATAATCTAAATAACATGTTCCTAAACATGGAGGGAAAAACCGGAGGACCCGCAGATAAAATCCACGCGACAATGGGGAGAACACACGCAAACTCCAAATATACAGGCGTCGGGGTCGGGATTCAACCCACGACCAGGGGAGGTAGTTAATATTTTGCCACCGTGGTAACCCAAGATTTCACTGCATAAACAAGTGGAATCGCAACCATAATAATATTAAGTACCGAGGGCGCGGAGGAGCTCACGGCGCACGGTGGCCGTAAACGTGCGCACCAGGCACAGCGTGCTGAGGCCCGCGAACAGCAGGTTGTACGACAGCACGATGTGGAAATTTCCAAGCCAGTTGAAGCGGCCAAAGTTGCCGAGCAGGTCGAAGTTGGTGATGCCTGCAAGCACGGAGACACAGTGGGGGTGAGGGGGCACAGGAGGTGACGCGGCTGCGACCTGCATGACGTGCAGGCGAGGTGTGTGTTGATGTACACCTCGTTTTACATGGTACCAATTGCGACTGATCGATCGACTGATGGACATCAATTTAATCGTCTTAGAGCATGGCGAGAACTGAAATTTGGCACGATTATAGTTAAATATATGCTAACAAGAACAATCCAAAAGCAAATTTTGTTTTCACTCATAAAGCAGAGAAGAGTTAGCCTAAAGTTTTACAGTTCTCGAAGTGACACGCTAAACACTTAAACGTATATAATATCCATCATCAATGAACCAATAATTTGCTATCCGTCCAGTGGGATAATGAAAGTAAAAAGATTGGCAAAGTCTATTAATGTATGTTGAACTTCTTCTGCACTCTACGTAGCCAACTGTGTTAATTGGAGGTGTGGGGGAAGCACAAAAAACTAAACACAAAATGCAGTTTTCAATTTAGTCTTCTACCGGTTATCAGTATAATGCTCACACTCAGCTTGATTTAAAAAAGTTAATTTAAAACAACTGCAAGGTCTAGGTCAGGGGTCGGCAACCTACGGCTCCGGAGCCGCATGCGGCTCTTTACGGGCTGCTTCTTGACGATGAGTACGTATGTATTCAGATGCATTGCGGCTCTTGAAATACTGAATTTTGTACCGAATTGGAAAGAAATGGCTCTTCTTGTTATTTTGGTTGCCGACCCCTGGTCTAGGTCAAAGAGTCATCATGGCGAATGCCGTTGATGCCACCATGCATCCCCCACACTCCCTTCCTTCTCAGCTGTTTCACAGTCAACATCTGAACCCCAAGGTCAGCTTACACAGAAGCCCACCATGTGGCCTGGAGGTCTTCCTCTTGGTCACTGAACTCTGGGTGCCACTCCAATGCCCCTCTCAGAAACCTCTCCCCTTCTTCCTGTGCATCTGCCCTATCTATGACAACTTCCTCTGACTGATTATGTCCACTGTTCTATCTTGCCATGGACTATTATCAATTCTCCAACCTGTTTTACCCGACCTGACATAAAATTTCTCGTATCCTCTGCAAGCACTGCATACAACCATAATTTGTATTAATGCTAACATAATACTCAGAAATAGAATAACAGTTTGAGGTCATTCGGGTAATGTCATTGCTTGAGCTGATGAGCCAATTCCCTTTTCAGTGTTCGTGCCAATGTGGAGGAAGCCATAGTTGCAGCAGAAAGCAATGCTTACGAGACGAGAGCACTTCACGTTTTCACAGAAGGTCATCAGCCTGCTTGCTGTACTCTTCTTGCGAGAGGCATACCACACTACACTGCAAGTGGGGGTCGTGTACGCTGTGTGCAGGTGCAGAAATTGCAGGGACAATGCTCATCGCAAATTGCTCCGATGGGATCAAACTGGTTTGTAGATGAGAACTATTCATTTCATCTGAAATAAAGTAAGATTTATTTGCATGTTATTAAAGTTTTTTTTCTTAAGGAATCCGTCGTCATCTTCATTGCTTTTTTACAACGGATATTTTCCTCCTCATATTTTGTTCCATACAGTTCATTTATTGCAAGAGACTTTTGCCATAATTGGCTCTCACCTTGTTATAAGTTCACATACGTCTGAGTATAGAAGGCGCAAACCAAATGAATAATGGAAAGACATTCCTATTTTATCTATAATTAATTTTTTTTTGCAGTTAAGTGATTAAAATACCAGTGGGAAATTTGTATTTTCAGGGAGGCGATGTGCAATGTTTGCAATATCGCAATTGTACCACATCCACCTCATGTAAATTTTAAATGTTATGGTATCGAGTTGGGGTCAAGGGGGTTAACGGTCAACGAAGTTGTTTCTAGCATCCACTGCGAAATGCAACGTTTGGCTAGGACTGCTAATTCTTGCCAAGCTTATTACACCTTTTCTGTGTGGTGGAAAAAAAACACGTTTACGATTAACAGCAATTGATAACTAAACCTTTCCATTATCCGCATCTGCAATATCACGGACAATCAATGCAATCAGCTATCAGGATTAATTTGCTCATCTAAGACCACCACCCCGATTCAATTGTGAATGAAGATTGTTTCATTTAATACAATGGACATCCAAGCAAGGCTCCTTCAAATTAATAACCATTTAGCAACTGTGTGGGATTTAACTAATATGATAATGCCGAGCAGTGTTAACACGTTAAGGTAACAATCTTGATTTGAGGCTTTCTGGCGGCAGGAATCCATACTCTTTGGTTCTTTCGGTAAAGTCACGTGGGCATAAAATAAAACAAATCACGACATTTGGAGCGCAACTCAAGCATCCGTATATCAGGTGAGAAAACTTGGCCTGATGACGGACGCTTGTGTTGCGCCCGCAACGTCGTGATTTATTCAATTTTTATACCTACGTGACTTTACCGAAAGAATCAAAAAGTACGTTAAGGTAATGTACATTGGCAACTGCTCTGCTCGAGGAGGTCACGTGACAGATTCAAGTGCTTTGGGTTTGATGAATAAGTTGCCTGGCGTACGCACCCACCTGCATTCACCACCGTTTTAACTCGCCGGTTTAACCGCTCGGCCGTCTACTCATACATGCACTCGCACATAACATGCCGTGTGTTCACGCACACATGCGAGCACACACACAGTGGACGGGTGTGGGCGGGGCGAGGAAGTGAGGAGCAATGTTTGTGTTTCGTGCGAGTGCCCCTGTCATGCCTGCTCACGACACGTGGCGCTCCGAGCCAAAGTCAACGCCTACAAAGCGTATTTTGGGTTCCCAATGTTTTATTTTCAAAAGTCCAAACAACGCAGGCACTGTCACGGGACCTCCACAATCAACGACCATTTGTCGACGAGCACCCATCGTCGTAGCGCCCTGTGTCCAAGCGACCAGCATGATCGCACACGCTAAACAGCTCAATTTCCACGCAATCGTAACTTTAACATCATCCGTTGCTTCCATGACCAGCTCCAAGTCACGTGGACCAGTCCCTTCCTGGGGCTGTGCCCGTGCCAGTGTCTTACCACAGGATTGAAAGTGGTGCCTGAGACTTCATAACCGAGCTGGCTCCCTGGCCCATTGGGCACTGAACTTAAAATCGGCCATCACGATTTATGGGCCGGACGAGGGCAACGGTCGCGATGTCACGCGCCTGAGGCACGCGATTAGCCTGGCTCACTCTCGAAAAGTGTGTTTCGTTTACAAACCACAACCAGCGTTGCCAGGTCAATAGACTCCGGACGGTTTGTGCATGCGTATGCATTTCTGTACTCTTTGTGAACTGCATGTATGTGTCGAGGTGCAATTGTGTTTGTGTGCATGTGAGATATAGTGCCAAGGGCATTGCGCTATGCACACATTGACCAGAGTTGGATTCCCGGCCGGGGCTAGAATCGGTGACAAATTATGTCTGTATCAGTCACGGGCCTACCCTATGTCACTTTAGCCTCAATTGTGTACCTGGTGTGGTGCCAGAACTTGGGATACAAAGGTGGCCAGGCATGGTTATGGCCACACCAAGTCCTCAGGCATCCTTAATTTAAGGTCACTTATATTTCTCTTCTTGGTTCTTTCGGTAAAGTCACGTAGAATGGAAATAATTAAATAATAAAAATAAAACATAATAAAATAATTCTCACGACGTTTCGGCCACAACGCAAGCAGCCGTCCTCAGGTGAGACCAGGTCTGTCGAGGCAACAGCGTCTGAATTCACTTATATTTATAGAGCGCCTTCACTTAAGGTGCTTGACATAGCTTACAAAACGATGACAGAATGGAATGATGTAGTTGGCAGGGGTGCACAAGGATTGAGAAATAAATCACAACAAAACAATGTACTTCGGGATCAGAACTTGCCCCAAAAGCCTATGCAGGCATATGGTGGATCTTTGTCTCTGCGTGTGCGATGTGGTGCAGTGAGTTACACACGATGCTACAACCCTAGCAACTGTGGTTCATTTCCCAGCCGTGACACCAAACATCAGTGGCGAGTGATATCTGAACCTGTCCGGAGCCTTCGCTAGGCCAACTCGGCCTTAAAAAAACGTACCTTGTGGAGGAAGTTCCCACAAGTACTGGCGAGACTAAAGGTGCGGTTGCTCACCGCACCACCGCCTCTCGCCCGTTCCAGCCTTAACAGGTGCGCACTAGCAACACTTGCCCTTACAGTCTATAACGCTAAGAGGGGGATTTTATCTTTGTGTGTGTATGCCTGCGTGCGTTTGTGTTTTGGGCGTGAGCACCACGTACCTGTCCTGTGTGTTTTGTCACTGTTTGCTCAAGTCGGTGCAGAATTGATTTTTACGAGATGGAATGGGAACTTGAAAGTGGTGGCTTTTACGGCGCCTTTGATTTGCTTGCTCTGCGGCGGCATTGCTAGACACCCACACAACGCAATCTCTCCCTCTACTGGGCAGGGCTCATTGAAACTGGGCTACGTCAAAAGGCACTCGGTCACATAGCGTGGCTCTACCCAAAGGCAACCGCTGTATTTAAGCTGTATTGAACAGCAATGGATTCCTGAATCTATCGAAATACGTGGGCTTTCTCTGTGTGGTTTTCTCCCACATCCTGTACACTCATTTGTGAAACTGGCCAAACATCTCAATGCAGGAGCCTACTGAGACACAGTCGTGAGACTCAGTGAGTCTATCGTGGGTACATGAAGGCCATTGTTTCTTATTACAGTATGCAACCCGAGACGTGGTCATGTTGCCTCACAGCAGGATGTGACATGTGCTCGGAGTGAATGTGACCGCTTAGGACTCACCCAAAGTTCGGGACAGCACAGGAAGAGCAGAACTCAGCACCAACAGGCTCACACAGTTACCGATAATCTGAGAGTGGCACACACACGGAGACAGACAAATACAAAAAGACCTGATCAGCACTATACACCGTCTCTGCTGTTAGAGATCACATTAATAGCCAAGTACCTACTGAGGCCAGGGTGATCACCGAGTAAGTGGTGTGGCCAACACCATGCTGATGAGAACACATATCACCAGGCACTCATTAATGGCCAAGGTGTCCAAAGATTGCCTGGCATGGGTCTTGCCAAACCACCCCCTCATGCACCATGACGGCCTGAATAGGTTCCCGCTAGTCTAAAGGTGCTCACAAGCTACAATAGGTGCTTGCTAGGCTACACAGGGGATGTTTGTCTTTGACACGAGTTTGTGTTTCAGTGTGAGAATGTATAATAAAGCAGGGAATGCTTATTAAAAATAGATTGGCCAAACATTTCCATGCACACGTCCTCATGAAAACAGGTCTTGAGACTCAGAAGTTTTCTCAGTGCATCGTCACACTTTGAGTGTCAAATTGAAATAACCAAATTAAGTTCCCCACTTGTGCCATACGGAACTGGACAAATCGAGGTGGAGTTTATTCCCTACTCAAACTGGAGTCACCAGGAACCACCGATACAAAACTTTTTAAAATGTTAATTAGATAAGGCCCATCGGGCTATATGGCTCCTTTTCAGAAGCGAACAGGCCACAAATGATAACTTAACGAAGTGCCTTATCATGGTGAAATTTACAAACGCATGTTTCTGAATAGTCTAGCAGTACTGATTGGAGAGGGGAGCTTCGTGGTGTTGGGCAGCGCTCAGCTGTGTACATTGTGGGGCAATGCGCTGCACTTGTACCTTGGTCATTGGCATGCTGCGGTTTCTGGGTAGAAGCGTGCAGAAGTGGGGCAGGCTGTAGAATCCCACCACAGACGACACCATCAGGTAGCTGGGCGTTGGATGACGTTAAGGTCTGTACACTGCCAGCGCATTCTCGGATTCCTGTAGAAATGTCTAGCACAGCTGTCGGCATGTGGGGTGGGGGGGGATAATGCGGGGATGGGCCCTTTGTGTTTGAGACACTCACCTGTGGGGAAAATGGAGCAGTGCCTGTAAGAGGTGACACAACAAATACTTCGATCTACACATGAACGAGTTTCAGTGTTATCTTCTCTCACGTGCCAGGTGTCTCCGGGTGTTTCAGTATCATAATGCAAGCACAAAATATTTCATGACCAGTTTTCCAAATTTTCCAAACGGAACCCTGTTGGGACTGAGTCCTGAGGCTCAATGAGACTTCTCTGTGTAACTATAGATTATTAAAGTATCACGGACAGGTTAACAACATTGTGATTTTAATCCTTGTGTTGTTTAAAAAACATTCCATTTTTATTGTATACATTTGTTTTAAAACTGATCATTTTAATGTTCTTTAATAGTGACTTTTGTAGATGATTGCATTAAAATGCTCCACCGGACAATTAGAAAAGTAGAAAATAAGAGTGCAAAGCAAAGATATCGAATTAACCAATTTAGAAACAATTTGAGATTATTGCTTACTTGCTAATGTTGCATATATTGCATTGCGTGCCCCCAAGTCCCCCTTCTAAAAAGCTATATTTCTCAACGGGCTCCCACTTATTTGAAATAAAACTATTGATTCCCTTCACAAAAACATTCATAAGTAAACTAAGAGCGTACACATGTGACATTTTGACTCTTACTCTTGTTAATCCAGAAAAACCTCACCGAGTCTCATGGACTCTTTTGTACGTATGTATGTACGTTGAACTTCTTTCGCACCGTACGTAGCCAACTGCGATAATTATCGGAGGTGCGGGAATGGGAGGGTCCTGCCAAGTTTTTTGCAACAGAGGGCGATGTTGCTATGCGTGTAACCCCAATTGAGTAATTAGCAGTACATTTTCAGCATGAGGACGTTTGGATCAGTACCAGTTACATAGCTATGAGCAGAAACCAGAGGACACAGGAAACTCATGCAGAACAAAGCAAGAACTCCCTCGGCCAGAGTTGGAAATCGAACCCAGGCCTATCTTGCTATGAGGCACGAATGTTACGACTGCACCACCCAGCCAGCATGAGCATGTACGTGTGGGGATCTGGGCGTGGAGGCTGCGAAAAGGATACAAGATGAGCGCGACTTCCAAAGTGGCTCCCAGAGGCCCGAACGCCGAGAGAGAGGCCTTCCCAAAGCCCACCTCCTACCACAGCACAGGGGCAAGACAACGGACCGCACGGGGGGGGGGGGGGGGGGACCCATGGGGCCGGTGGGCATCACTGTGACGAGGTGCCGTGGTCACTTTCAACAGGGAGAAGTTAGCAATGAGGAAAAGGGCAAGAGAAGGAACAGCCTGGTGTGGCACCGCCCAAGTCTCTCCCGGAGAGAAGCAAACGTTCATTACGTCTGGCCAGGCCTTGCAGGTTTACAGAATGCCTGGCAACAAATACGATGTCGTGTATGCACACATGTATTGAACATTATACTTTGGTCTGGCAAAACTTGATAAACCCCCCAAAAAACCTGTATTATGTGCAAAACAACGATACAATACAATTCGAATTTACAAAAAGTCTAAATGCAAAGGCATCTTGGGATGCTGTTTAAGCAACACACCAGGTATGTTTGAGTGTATCATTTGAACCATCAACCTACAGGCTTTCCAGATCAGTAAAAGCTAGTAGTGTTAGTTTACACAAGGTAAACCCTCTGCCTGGGTTTTATTTCACTGAGTCATCATCAGGGTGTGGTCTGTAAAACCAATGCCACCGAGCAGTTTGATTTTATTGGCAAAAGCCATTAGTTAACATTGTGGCTTGAACAAAAATACTCTAAATAAATAAATATGAACTTTGCTGGAAAATTACTTGTTCAAATAAAACAAACAGATGCTGGAGCTGTTTATAATTATGAAATAAAGTAACATTCGATCCATTGACCACAAAACCTCTTGGATCAATGTTCCTCTGTTGGGTTTTCTGAGGAGAATGTGCAGATCTCATATGTGGGGGCAGCAGCCACGTCAGCATTCTGATGACGATCAGGGGCTCTTTCTCTCTGCAGACCTTAGCCTCAAACCAGTAATTTTCAAATGAGCAGCCTGAATAAAGCCTCCACCAATCACAGTGCTTCTTCTTTCAAATGGCTGATGTAAATGCAGAAGAACAGCTACAATTCCACATTCAGGTGGTTAAGCCAGATAACCACATCAGAAGCAGTGGAGTGTATCGCCGTGATGTCTCCTTCATGTGTGTGGATCGGGCATTGCGTCGTTATTTGTTGTACTGTCTATTCTGGATGACCACAGTCACACACTGGAGAGTTTTTAATTTTCGATTTATGCATCAGGTATCCGCATCTGCCACGGTTTGTGCAGATGCAATTTAGGGTGGACCATGAGCTTCATGGAAAATCAAAACCCAGGGAGCTTCTGCTTACAGCACGAAGACAACACGAAGGACAGTACTCCTGGGCTCACGCCGCCAAAGTGAAATGCACCGAATGAGTTCGCCACGTGTGAGTGCGACTTGCTCAATATTTATTGATAATCAGGCGAGAGCCCGTTGAGGGTGAAAGCCTCTTCTGCAAGCGAGACCTCGGTCACAAAAGCTGGCACAGCACAGAACATTTGCAACAAAAAAGTAATCAAGAACCACGGTGTACTCTGACAAAATATCTGCAAACCCAATGAAACCTTAAAGCAGAAAGTGAAATTATTGAAATAAACTTACGAAAACCAGGCAAGAGGTAATACAAAAAAATTGCCTAATTTATATAAATACCAAAACCTGTTGCAGTTGCTTATGAATTAGTTTCAATTAGACCGGATGACTCTGTGGCAGAGCATGTAACTAAAAGTCGGAAGCATCCGAGTTAAAACACTATTTGGGGTCAACCCAGCCAATCGTTTCCCCAGGATAGAGACATTGAGCACCATACATTGTGAAAATTCAATAGTCAATGGTTTAGAAATACTCACCCTTGTCATAGGAATGTGGAAATCACACCTCTGGCGCAGGGCTGTAAACTACTCTAGCACCGCACAATGCCCTTTTGGGTATGGAGACACTTTCAAATTTAATCTTGCTTATGAGAGATTTACAAAAAAAAGAACATTCTAAAAATGTAAATGATGACATCAAATCACTGACAAATGATCTTTCGGCCACGAGGTTTTCAAATAAGTCAATCCGAGCGGCCCATCATACTGAAGGTACACTTCGTCATCATAAGGACTCATCATCAATCCACATCCAGCTACAGACTGCCAAGGACAGGTCCCAGCAATGAAAAAAGTAGAAATTAATAAAAAAAAAATCAAGCGAGAACTCATGCACTCGGGTTAATTTCCACTAATTAAATAAAAAAATCGGATTAAGTGCTTCCTCAGGCACCCCCCCCCCCCCCCCCACGGACGTTGAAACCGTGCGTCTCGAAGTCACTTTACACTGTCCTGGATGGCCCGAGGATGCCCGCCAGTCCACCACCGCCAGGGCATCCTGTTTTAACTCTGCCCTGCTCTAAAATTAACGGTTTGCAAATAAACAACGGCTGCAGTGGAAGACACACCTAATTAGCAGTGAGCGCCCTTCCCGGAATCCATTTCCCTTCCACAGTCGGGGCGTTATTCGTTCGTTGCCAGCGTGCGCGGATTTTTTTTTTTTAGAGAGGGCTCGCGACGTGTGCCCCCCGCCACCCGCCTCCCCCCCCGGGGCAGACTCGCGAGCGTCATCCTGGCCTCGGAGTTTCTGGAGCCTCGGCGAGGATACATTAAGGCCATTGTGTATAAAATAAATAGAAATACAAATAAACCCAGCGGTCAGATTCCTGCCACATATTCAAGTGCGGTTAAAATTAAAGCGAGGGGAAAAAGGCACGAGAGCGAATCTGCCGACAAGCCACGTCAGCGTGGGAGCAAGGGAGATATTTGTCGTGCTAAAAATAACGCGTACTTTACCCCAAAATGTGCACTGGCACTCTAAAGGTCAAGCGCCACGTCGCTATCGGGAATGAAAAAAGTGAGCATTGGTACAGAGGAAGACCTCTCTAGGCCTTTAATGTCACTGACCTACTGCATGTGTGTGACCTTTCACCACAACAGGGCGATCATCTTTGCGTTTCTCTCTGTGAGGAACGTCGTTACGAAAAAAACAATCAACAAAAAGCGTCTCTCCCATCTTCAAGCAAACTTCAGGCACTGCTCACCTCGGCCGGCAGCCCCAAGCTTGTAATCGATATTCCACATTGCTATATGGCAGTAGGTGCTTACCTATGCATAGGATGATCGCTGTTGAATTCTCACAAAAGTGGGAGTTAATTTATCGACCCAAGATCGATGGTGGACTAAGTTAACCGCCACATGGATTTTAACCCCAAATTTGAGTCAACGGGGGTCCTTGGTTTCATCCCCCCCATGTAAAATGCTAGTTATAAAAATAAGTTGACCAAACATCTCAATCCAGGACCCTCTTGACAGAGTCTGCTTGCTTTTGCGTGGATTACCTGGATAAATACATGGTTATTTCTCAAGTAACCAATGCCATATAGCTATCTAATTTGATCACATAGAGTCCATTACACATCGAGGAATGGAACAAAAAAAGGACAAGACATGGTTGAACAACGTAAAGAGATTCACCGTATCGATCGTTAATTGCGTTGAAGAGGTTCCTCAGCACATCGTGACCCTGAAAGCGGCAGCACAGATAATTATCTGAGTTATGTGCAGGTGGTTTAACCATTACTTATGGATCTCGGCTGCCGTCACAGTTGGGATCACATGGTAGAGCCCGAATACAATATAACACAACATAGTGTACAGCACATAACAAAACAAGCCACTTAAGTGCATGCTGTTTGTCAGTGTCATTTTCCTTCCAATTACCAGTCCCATTTCAGTCCCATTTTCCTTTCAATGGAGCTAAACAAATACAACTTACACGCAGAAATTATTTAAAAAGTGGACCATACACAAACAAGCACGCGGGCAAAATACGGAGTGAATTCCTGCCGTTTTCGACCAAAACAAATGTAATGCACGCACGTACAACCACTGTAGAGTAGGAAGTAATGTTCATGGTTTTGGAACGATGGTTGTCATCGAAACAAAATATAAGGCTGATAATTTAAACAGAACTGCGACTGCTGGTTGTCATGGAAACAAAGCGTTGTAAAACGTCCAGGTGTGGTACACGTCATTTGAGCCAGTAGGATTATAAAGGTTTTTGGGTTAGATTGCGTAAGTATAAATGTGTCGTAACCCTCCACCACCCGACACAGCCAATTAGTAAGGGATTTGTCACGTAAACAAACCGCCAATTAGTTACTACTTCAGCCCACCGGTGTGTTGGAGAGTACATCCACAACATTTAACAATTTGAGTACGACGCTTCGCTGGTAATTAAATCTAGCATCATCGGACGATTTGCCAGAATAGTTCGTGTGATCCAATTAAATTTGTGTGATCCAATTAATAGAGTAATCGAACTGATAATCGTTGGAGTAATGTGTGACTTAAATAATCGGATAGTCCAGCTCTAGATCATTTAACTTACCGCCTAGCATAGTGTAGGCATCACCACACTGTACTGTACCATGTAGTCTAGCGTAATTTTATTCAGCCCAATCAATGCGTAAAGTGTGTCGGCGCATGCTACAGTTGGCCAAATATTCCACTTGCAATGCATACCTTCAGCTTGACCACAAGACTACGCAGATGATTCTGGCGACGAGTGGCCAAAACTGCGCACGTCAAGCTGTCTATGGAGAGATTGCTGAGAAAATATTGAGATTGCTGATGATGAGTCAACTGTTACAGTTAACCATTATCCCCCAGTAAACAAGCTCCAATTGCTTCTATCTGTCTAGGGTGTGGGGACAGGCCGAGGGTTGATCTGAAAGGGCAAATTGGCACATTCCATTCAGTCATGGGGGCAGTTCGGTGCGTCTGGCCGATGAGTCTAAAAACAGCGTCCCCTGTACGGGGAAATAATCACTTTTCAAGAGGAGTCTTGTCACGGGATGATTCATACAATTAATTCTAAGTAAGTTGTGCTTCGTATGCTTGAAAGGAAATTGGTGTACCCAGAGAAAACACAAGCATACGAGGGGAAAACACTCAAACGGTTTCACACAGACAGCTGAGGAACTCATTTGCTACGTTGCCATCTCGTTGCCATCTCGTGGCCATCTCGCACACCAGCGGGGTTTAGGAGACTCGCAAAACACTATGTATGTTTGTTGAACTTGTTTGACACCACACATAACTGCTAACCATTCTAATCGGAGGTGCTTATGTACAAGTGTAAAATTCCTTAAGGCACACGCATCGCATGCGTTTGCGTGCATGCGTGCATCACGTGCACGCCCTCCGGCCATCTACGAGACTAAGCCTACAGCTCCAGGCCCAGCCTTAGCTTGTAGCAGCCAGAATTGATGTTATGGACAACGAGCAGTCGACAGAGATGATGGATTAATCCAACCCCACCAGTGAGTAGCGAATGAGTGTGCAGGCGGTGCAAATGCACCAGGGCCTACGGGCCGGATGGGCCCAGTCATGGGGTGTTTTGCCCTTAATGGATCATCGGTGAGCCATACCCAGCAACAGACTGCTCTGAATGCCCACATTTAGCAAGCGGTCACTGGCAATGGAGGATAACACACGAGCACAGCCAGGCCTCTCACGTTCATATGAATAGCTGTCAACCCCTTATCAGTGTCTGCCTTATTACAGACCAATTCAGACTTGATTGGTCACCCCGTGTCCTTATAAATCTCAACGTTCATCCAACAACGTCCAATCACAAGGGAGAAACACAAAGTAATAAACAATTTATTTTTTTGCCTGTATTAAAATGGCTGTACGCAGTATGGACCTTAAAAATAAAATTTCCTCGTACAAGACTATGGGTAAACCGTATGGGTTGACAGGTATGAATATGTTCAAGTCAGCACAATGCCCTGATGCAAGAGCCCATTATTATTTAATTCACAGTCGATGAACAATCAGCAGCAGCTAAATGTAACACGCAGACGTTCGTGACCAATATTATTATTATTATCCATAATAGATTGTTGTTGGGTCAGATCGCTTAAGTAAAATTTAGCAATAGGTTTTTACCATTTTATCTGGTACAAAGACTGACACCTTTATACAAGGGATCATGTTTGCAATAACCACAACACAAGCAGTCAAAATGCAAACAAAAAGAAACAACTCTGATAATGATATGCACTGTCCTTGAAGTTGATTGGTCCACACCCGAGACAGCTTTTCTTAGAGCCTAGTCTCCATTGGTGTTGTTTCTTTTTGTTTGCATTTTGACTGCTTGTGTTGTGGTTATTGCAAACATGATCCCTTGTATAAAGGTGTCAGTCTTTGTACCAGATAAAAGGGTAAAAACCTATTGCTATATTTTGCTACTGGTAAAGGAGGTGTCATAGTGTTAAATTTGTCATAACCTCTCTATCACCGTACATTGCCAATTAATAAAGTTGTCATGTCAATAAACGTGCCAATTTATTACTACTTCAGCACACTGACGTGTTTGAGATATGACCAGAATCATCAGGCAGTTGCAATATTTCCGACCCAAAAATCAATTACGAAGCAATCAACAGCCAGTCAACAGATTGTGGATGGTCTGCAGTGCAAAACAATCCTTCTCTTCCACCCAGTCTCATGCCGCTGCGAGGCAATCTCATGTTTTGAGAAGGCGCCTGGCCAATAGATTTGTCTTTCCACTACCACCACCTGTCTGTGCATTATTAGAGTAACCCTGAGAACATACCAACTGTGACTCCTACGTCCCTCGTAGAGAGCACTGATTGCAGTGTTGCAAAACAAGCTTTTATTGTGCTGTAAAATAATTCCGCTTCATAATTCGCGATTCCGAAATTATGCTGTATTCGTAAAAAAATCCACCAGGGTTGAAACATTAACTTTTTGTGCACAGTTAGACACAGTATCTCAAAAGAAGAGAAAAGAGTCTCATCGTCTCTTCATTGTAAAGCAAGACATCAATGGCCAAAGTTCCTAAAACATTTGGAGCTATCAAAGAACAAACCCTCAAATAGAGAACGCAAAAATAAATAAGTCCCAGCTTCTTTCTGCTTCTTGCTGGGCAGGCTTATTTTCCGCTGGTGGTGGAAATTCCACATTCCCACTTTGACGGCCAGATTTCCAACAGGACGACCTTTGTTTATCGATTTTATGATCTCAATTATTAATAGTACTCATAAGTATCATCCTTACTGCTACACAATACAATCGATGGTGAAAAGTCATGAAAACCGTATAAAATGTAATATTGTAATACATTAAATCACAGTGACGCCTGTGCAAATGAGTATGGGGCTGTGTTCACATTTGTCTACATTGTCATGGCGGGTACCAGTCAAAAATAAGTACAACCATTCTTGATTTCTGAAAAGTGGTACTTATTTTATCGATGCCTAACTGGAATTTCAGCTCACAACAACCCAATCCGAACCTTTGTTGCTCTGTCACGGATGGTTAATAAGAACACGATGGTGATGGTATTAATGCAGGAGCCATGATGACACCTTGACAAACATTTTCATTGGGTTTTTGATCACCAATAAGAGTAATGTACATCTCAATTGGGCGATTATTGTAGTCATGCAACAAACCAAAAAATGATCTTCCCTATGGAACTCACTCCACCAGAAGGGCATCACATCACGATTCGGGAACAATTTCAGAGGACGAAACCAATGAAGATTCGTCGACATTTTGTTGCACCGTTTCCTCGCGGCACGTCAGGGTATGGCACCTCCTCGACGCCCACGGGAAGGGAGTTTCACATTTGTGCGATCCACAAAAACCTTGCTGCCTCTGCAGTGCTGGCTTACAGGCCACGTGCATATAGCCACCACCACCTCTCACTCAACATTAGATGGCGCTCCATTTCAGTGTTAGCTGCATGTTAAGTTTCAATTCGATTGTTTCACACTCAAGAGATCAGCAGGAGTCACAGTTTTAAGATGGACCAGCATCACGCGTCAGTTATCCAACATGTTAGCCGTGAGATGGAATCTGCCCAAGCGAGAGAAACCCCACGTTTATGTATTTTTGTAGAATAACTATTAACTGTGCCGACAACCATGTTCTCACTGCCGTTGAGAAGGCAGTTCCTCGTCGGCATTACCGCAATTTATTCATGTTTTAAAAACGTTAACCAGTTGCTGTGGCAGAATACTTCACTGGTAGTCAGAAGGTCCTGGGGTTTATATTGGATTTGGGGGTTAATTCAAGTCCACTTAAATCCATCCGGGGTCAATAATCTATCATGGGGAAGGGGAGGGCTTGCACCAGTTTTGATATCCCTTGCCACTCATGATAGCCGTGGAAATTAACCCAGGTTGCTCGGTCCAGAGTGCAGTGCCCTAACCATGATGCCACCAATTTATACCTTCTTATATTCATGAAGGTTAACACAAAAAACGAGACAGAATGACGAGGCAATATGTACGAGGCAGACAAACCAGGAGAGACGGTTCTAACGAGAGACTAACTCGAATCGCGAGCCTGAAGGAATGGCCGGAGGGGCGTTTGGTTCAACCGTCGTGCAGAGATGGGGGCAATGTCCTGGGACCCAGCGATTGAGCACTGACACGGCGGGCGAGCACTCTCACCTGGCTTCCCTTGGGCATTGCCGCGTCATCGATGAGCAGCACCAGGACGTGGAAGCACACGAGCACCACGGAGACGCCCTGTCGCACACAATGACAAAGGTCTCCTCGTAAAGCCTTCAACACAGTTGGGGGGCAAGTGCTGTTAGCGAGCACTGCCTTTGTCTCCCAAGTGCTTATGTTTTACAAACTTCCGACATTAGGAAGCCACTGGATGTATGCACTGTTAAATCTAGATTGAAAACGAATTTCTTGTCAACTGCTCTGTGTTTAGTTTTTTGTAGTTTTATGTACAGTGCGAAAGAAGTTCAAGACACATACATAAATACACCGCACCATGTGCTTATTTGGGGATGATTCGACCTCGAGGAGGGCCCTGGACTGGTTCAAATATTTGCCACTGTTGTTGGTTATGAGCAGGAACCAGAGGTGTGGACTCGAGTCATGTGACTTGGACTCGAGTCAGACTCGAGTCATGAATTTGATGACTTCAGACTCGACTTGGACTTGCATAACAATGACTTTGTCCCACCTCTGAGGTGTGGACTCGAGTCATGTGACTTAGACTCGAGTCAGACTCGAGTCATGAATTTGATGACTTCAGACTCGACTTGGACTTGCATAACAATGACTTTGTCCCACCTCTGAGGTGTGGACTCGAGTCATGTGACTTGGACTCGAGTCAGACTCGAGTCATGAATTTGATGACTTCAGACTCGACTTGGACTTGCATAACAATGACTTTGTCCCACCTCTGAGGTGTGGACTCGAGTCATGTGACTTGGACTCGAGTCAGACTCGAGTCATGAATTTGATGACTTCAGACTCGACTTGGACTTGCATAACAATGACTTTGTCCCACCTCTGAGGTGTGGACTCGAGTCATGTGACTTGGACTCGAGTCAGACTCGAGTCATGAATTTGATGACTTCAGACTCGACTTGGACTTGCATAACAATGACTTTGTCCCACCTCTGAGCTGGTGTGGACTCGAGTCATGTGACTTGGACTCGAGTCAGACTCGAGTCATGAATTTGATGACTTGAGACTCGACTTGGACTTGCATAACAATGACTTTGTCCCACCTCTGAGGTGTGGACTCGAGTCATGTGACTTGGACTCGAGTCAGACTCGAGTCATGAATTTGATGACTTCAGACTCGACTTGGACTTGCATAACAATGACTTTGTCCCACCTCTGAGGTGTGGACTCGAGTCATGTGACTTGGACTCGAGTCAGACTCGAGTCATGAATTTGATGACTTCAGACTCGACTTGGACTTGCATAACAATGACTTTGTCCCACCTCTGAGGTGTGGACTCGAGTCATGAATTTGATGACTTCAGACTCGACTTGGACTTGCATATCAATGACTTTGTCCCACCTCTGAGGTGTGGACTCGAGTCATGTGACTTGGACTCGAGTCAGACTCGAGTCATGAATTTGATGACTTCAGACTCGACTTGGACTTGCATAACAATGACTTTGTCCCACCTCTGAGGTGTGGACTCGAGTCATGAATTTGATGACTTCAGACTCGACTTGGACTTGCATAACAATGACTTTGTCCCACCTCTGAGGTGTGGACTCGAGTCATGTGACTTGGACTCGAGTCAGACTCGAGTCATGAATTTGATGACTTCAGACTCGACTTGGACTTGCATAACAATGACTTTGTCCCACCTCTGAGGTGTGGACTCGAGTCATGAATTTGATGACTTCAGACTCGACTTGGACTTGCATATCAATGACTTTGTCCCACCTCTGAGGTGTGGACTCGAGTCATGTGACTTGGACTCGAGTCAGACTCGAGTCATGAATTTGATGACTTCAGACTCGACTTGGACTTGCATAACAATGACTTTGTCCCACCTCTGAGGTGTGGACTCGAGTCATGAATTTGATGACTTCAGACTCGACTTGGACGTGCATATCAATGACTTTGTCCCACCTCTGGCAGGAACTGAACACGAAGGCCACTGACCGTGAGCAGCAGGAGCAGCAGCATCACGAGAGGGAAGCACAAGTTCCTTTGCCAAACAGAGGCTCCAACCCTCCGCTCTACACACACACAGGTACACACAGCCTCCGTTAGCCTTACAGACTTTGGGGATGAGCAGTCATCAAGAATGCCATAACACATGAGATGGTCTTGCGATCATCGACACCATGCATGCCAGCCTTCCTTCAACTTCCCCGTGTTGGTGTTAACTGCATCAATTAAACTAAAACAGTCTGCCTCAGCAGCAGACTGTGCTTTCCCACCTGATGATGGACGCTTGTGTTGCGCCCGAAATGTCGTCATTAATTTTATTTTATTTTATACCTACGTGACTTTACCGAAAGAACCAAAGAGAATGTATAAAACTAAACTGATTTTATTTGACCAGGTAAGGCCAGCTGAGCTTATTTTCAGAAGCAATCTGGCTGCAACTTATAGCTCAATGAAGTGGCTTACGTAGATTTTTTTTTTATCGAAGCCAAATACTCGAAACGCATGTTTCTAAATGTAGAGGGAAAAACTGGAGGACCCGGAGAAAAATCTACGTGACCACGGTGAGAAGATGCAAACTTTAAATATACAGACGTCGGGGTCAGGATGGAACCCACAAAAGCTCTTGTGGAAACCAAGCGAGATGTAAACTGGTATGCAGAAGGTCGTGGGTTTGATCCTGACCCTGATGCTTGTATATGTGGAGTTTATATGTTCTCCCCGTAGTCACATGTATATATGTTGAACTTCTTTCGCACAGTACATAGCCAACCGTGCTTATCGAAGGTGTGGGGAAAGCCTGGCTTTTCTTCCGGGTCCTCCGGTTTTTCCCTCCACATTTACAAACATGCGTTTGAAAGTATTTGGCTGCTATACAATTTTCCACATGATGAGCCACTTCATTGAGCTACCAGTTGTGTCCAGGTCGCTTCTGAACAAGAGCTATATAGTTCATGGACCTTACCTGGTCAAATAAAATAAAAAAACCTAGTCCGAGTCGGACTAGAGTAGGCCCAGGCCAGATCTAGAGGTGTGAGAGTCCACAGACAGCGAGGCTGCCTGTAGTGCTGCGTGCACCGTGCAATGCCTCACCCATGCTGTTGCGCTCCTTGCTCACCCAGAAGATTCTCTCCCTCAGAGCCTCCACGCTCAAGTGCTGCCAGCAGCCCGAGCGACCTGCTCACCACGCAGACACGTGGCGCGGAGACACACACACACATATATATACATGCACGCGCAGATACGCACTGACATACACACAACTGTCTACCGATACATATACATGTAGATACATACCCGAGACACACACACGCGCACGAATAAACAAAACAAAGACAAAGATCCCCCCATATAGCCTTTAAAAGACTGTTGGTGCAAGTGTTGTTAGCGAGCACCTATTAAGGCTGGCACGGCACAGGAGAGGGTGGTTGGCCAGCACCACGCTCGGCCGCCTTTGTCTCCCCAGTACTGATGTTTACACACTGCACCAGGTACTAATTTGAGGCCGAGTCGACCTAGGGGAGGCCCAGGACCGGTTCAGATAAGACGATGTAACACAATTTTTGTTCTTGGGTAGTAAGTGTTATTTCGTAATTGCTTATGCATAAAAAGTATAGAAAATGCCTATTATTCCCCACAAACTTTGCTTTTGTGACCAGAGCAGTGATATTTTGAAATGTAACTATTTTCAATGAGAAAACTGGCGAATTTGTGTCTTTTCATTGACATAAAGTCAGAAAACAACAACATATGAATCAAAGCTAACATGCATTAATACTAAAGTAATACAAAAGTCACTACAAAAGATTTAGAAGTGAGTAGTTTTTCGAGATTTGCATTTATACTGTAAATCGCTTTTATTATGAATCAGCCCCCAAATGTTGTCTCCCATTATGTTCGCGTTATACTGTCCTTGGTAGCGGCATTCAAAGTCCAGTATATCCTGGTGGAAGCGCTCGCCTTGCTCCTCAGAGTACGCTGCCATGTTCTCCTTGAATTTATCAAGATGAGCATCAAGGATATGGACTTTGAGGGACATCCTACAGCCCATTGTGCTGTAGTTTTCACCAGAGTCTCAACCAGCTCCACATAGTGTTTGACCTTGTGATTGCCGAGGAAGCCATGAACCACTGTGACAAAGCTGTTCCAAGCCTCTTTCTCCTTACTAGTGAGCTTCTTGGGGAATTAATTGCACTCCAGGATCTTCTTTAGTTGTGGTCCGACGAAGACACCGGCTTTGACCTTTGCCTCAGACAGCTTAGGGAAGAAGTCTTGAAGGTACTTGAAGGCTGCCGACTCCTTATCTACAGCTCTGACAAATTGTTTCATAAGGCCAAAATTGATGTGCAGTGGTGGCATTAGCACCATCCAGGGGTTCACCAATGGCTCCCACTTGACGTTGTTCCTCCCCACAGAGAACTCGGTCCGCTGTGGCCAGTCCCGCCTGTGGCAGTGCGCCTTAGTGTCCCCGCTGTCCAAAAGGCAAAGATAGCAGGGAAAAACCACCTTGGAGACCCATCAAGAATGCCACCATTATGAAGTCTCCGATGACCTCTCATCCGTACACATCATACTTCAAGGCGTCCAGCAAGTTCTTGATGCTGTTGTAATCCTCTTTGAGGTGCACCGAGTGGGCCAGGGGAAGAGACGGGTACTTGTTACCATTATGGAGCAGCACGGCTTTGAGGCTCCTGGATGAGCTGTCAATGAAGAGGCGCCACTCATTCTGGTTACAAGCGATTCTGATTGCCTCGAACAGACTGGTCACATTGTGGCAGAAGCAGAGCCCCTCTTGACGGGTGAAGAAGCTGCAAAAAGGTTGGTGATGCTTCCTCTGATCTGCGACTTGCACACTTTAATCCAACAAGTTCCACTGCTTGAGCCAAGACGTCAAAAGCTCGGCATTGGACTTGGTGAGACCAAGATCCCTGATCAAGTCGTTGAGGTATTTTTGGTTGGGGTAGTATGGGTTTCTCTCCTGAGCTCCACCTCTGAAATTGTCATCTGGATCTACAACGTCTTCCTCGCTCTCTGACTTGCTGCTCTCTTCTAAAGACGGCTGCTCTCTCTCCAGAGGAGTGGGTACGGGGAGCTCATGGTAGTGTGGCACCGGGGCGATGTATGAAGGTCCGGATACGTGATAGCAGGTGCATTCTTGCCAGTCCGACGTTTGTAAGGGTCCACTATAAAGAAGTAGCAGTTGCTTGAGTGGTCAGTGGGTTCCCGCCAAATTCTTGGGCTAGCGAACTTCACATCTCTCTTTCCCTCTCTGTACCATCCAACAAAAAAATATTTATTTCACCCATCACTAATGTGTAAGAGATTCTCCCAACATTTTTCATGTATGATACATTTTTTCAATAACATTTAAAATTGTAAAACATTTTAAAATTAAAAACTTTTACAATTTAAAAAATTGCAACAAATTTTATAACATAAAATTCCGAGCAACAATTGTCCATCTTACCTTCCAGAGTTTTTTTGCATTGTTCGCAGGTGAAACGATATTTGTCTTGATTCCCGACAGGCATGCTGAAATATGCCTTGCAGGCCTCACACATCTTAGCAGATGCTTCCACAGAATACTTTTTCACTCTTGTCTTGATAAATTGGCCGCAGACATAGCAAAATGCGTCTTCCGGATGCTTACAGCCTTTTGATGCCATCTCAGAAAAATGCAGATATGTCTCCACTTAGGCAGCTGAACTAAACTGAACTGGTGGGCTTAAGGCCCCTGTATTTATACTAGTATATATATTACAGGAAAGTTAAATAATTTTCTAGAAGTTACTCAAAGTTTACTCAGCACTGAATCTGTCTGGAATGTTCTGGAAAATAGGTAAATTTCAAAATATCACTGTCCTGGTCACAAAAGCAAAGTTTGTGGAGAATAATAGCCATTTTATGTAATTTGAGGCATAAGCAATTAAGAAATAACACTTACTACCCAGGAACAAAATATTTAAATAAATTGTTACACAGAGTAATCGCCACTGGTGTTGGCCATGAATGGGAATCAGATTCGGGTCGCTGGGTTGGTAGTGCAGCGTGCTAACCACTACACAACGGAGATACACACCGTTACACACACACACATCTATCCAATGATACATACACATACGCAGAATCACACCGAGACACACACACATATATACACACACACACAACTCTCTACTGACACATGTACATGGAAAAAGCAGCACAGTATACAAATCTATACAAGACTCCTACACATTAAAACACAAACAGTTTGCAGCAATACAGCCTTATCGCACACACGTGCACGCCACAAGGTTGTGTTGTAACATATTCACAAAACAATAATTAACAACTTGAAACCCTTTGCCAATCCACTGCTGGATGAAGGCCTCCCCACGCCTGGTCCGCTCATGGTCAATACCGATTGGTGAAGTGGGTGGGGGGCGGGGTGGTCCATAACTGGTTCAGATGTCGCTTGCAAACTTACATTAGCAATGGCCGGGAATCAAACTCAGGTAGGCAATGCTTCCCAACTCACAACATACCTCTGATCATTAAATCGCTACGTGTGATAGCATTGGCCCAATATTAATTTGTGCTAATGCTGTGCAGGGATTACGCCTGAGCGCAGGACGTCTTTTGTGTTTCAAACATGGTGGTGTAGTGGTAACACCAGAGGTGTGGACTCGAGTCATGTGACTTGGACTCGAGTCAGACTCGAGTCATGAATTTGATGACTTCAGACTCGACTTGGACTTGCATAACAATGACTTTGTCCCACCTCTGGGTAACACGTGCGCCTCGCAGCGAGAAGGGTCTGGGTTCTATTTCAGACTCGGGTGTCTTTCGATGTGGAGGTTGTATGTTCTCCCCTGTTCTACATGTGTTTCCTCGGGGTTATATGGTATCCTCCCATAGCTAAAAGAAACCATACAATGTAAATGCTTTTGGCCAAACATTGCAATGCTGAAATATTACCTGAAAATTACTCAATTGAATTACAAATAGCAACATTGCCCCCTAACTGTTAAAACTCGAAAGGACAATCCAAAAGAAGAAGAGTTAAGAGACTCAGTGAGGCTTTCCTGGGTACACAAGCATAAACACGTAAATTATTAATTGAAGCCAGACCCGTGTTCTATGCATAAGTTGCCATGTGACCACAATACGTGGGAAACATGCGGAATCCTTCACGAAATACACGGTTATCAGCTCACCTGCTTCCTCTAAGTCAACATGATACTGAGAAGAAAGGCTGCATGGAAGGCCACACAATAATACTGTGTGGTCATGCAAATTGTAATTAGAAAGTTGCTGCAATAACTACACGAAATTCATCGCCACAGCACACATGGACACACAAATAAAACTTGTCATGCTGAAAACGAATTAGTCGGTAACTCTGCATCAATGTCCTTTTGAAATATTGAGGTTGAACCCATTGTAACGTTTACTCACGATAAAGCCAAAACTAAAATGGTAATAATCTTCCGTTGCTGACAAATACCGCCTAATCTATTGCCGGCAGACTCTCACGGGAGGCATTGTGGGCCTATCATAGCGCAGCAGATAGTGCCAAGCTCCAGCCTCGTAAGGGCTCATCAGTGAACCATATGCAGCTACAGACGATGGCAATGTTTTCACAAAGGGGAACCCCAACTGGGACGCGGGGGTCTTCACATTTAAGTAAAGAATTTCTAGTTGTTCTAACATGACTGTTTTAAGAAAGCTTGCAAAGATATATTAATAACAACCAATTAAAACACATTTTAAAAATGATAGCATTTAATTAATGTTGCAGCTGTGACTCCAAGGGAGGAATCGTAATGATGAGTCAAGGGCGGCCACCTGCGCAGGGCGACCGCGTGCCAACGGAGACGAACGCCGGCCCAGCATTCATGCGAGCTGAAATACTGACCTCTTGTACTTGTTTTTGTATATTAAGTGGCATTTTTATTTTTGGTTTAGCATGAATTATGGCAAAAGAAGAACTTCCCCACTGATTATTGTTAAAAACAACACGATATGTGTTGGATGGACATGTAGCATAGTACTAATCTACGTATGTCAGCTATGACAATTACTGCTATACCTCCGATTAGCGCGGTTGGACACGTACGATGCAAACCAAGTTCAACACACATACATATTGAAGGCAGACTGAAATAGAGGCAAACGAGCAGGGTGGCGTGTGTTCAGAAAACTATAAAGATAACGAACACAGGAGTTGAGCGAGGCAAGCACCACCGCTGCCGTTTCAATTGTCAGCTCACACGGCCGCACGCACTGCTGCAGGTGCATGTGCGCGGCACTCCAGCGGAACAGTGGTGGATGCTCCACTGCAGAGCACCTCTTCTAGAGAATGCCACCCAAGAAAACATGCCACTTTCGTGGATACGTAATGAGGTCTTGTATCCTGGGCTGTACAAACTGAAGTTTGAAGTTTTGTTAAACCAGCGAGGTATTAAAATGCACGGTAGCCATGCCCCGTTGATGCCACTGGGGCGATTGTGAATGTCGATTTAACGGCACAAGTTTTTCTTCCGATTCCATTCCAATGACGGAAGAAAAACTCAAATGAAATAACTTTATCAGTATGTCTTCAGGTCAGAAGACGTACCATGGCTCCCCCAAGGGAGGCCGTGGCACAGTTTGGCGGCAGCTACCTTAAATGCGGTCGTGTCACGACAGGTCTCTGCTGTGAGTACAATGTCTTTAAGAAAAACGGCGCTATGCCTCTCTAAATTAAAATTAATTCCAACCGCTTGCGCGTCCCGAGATTCAGCGGTGAACGGGACACCCACCCTGTGACTTGCAGACATCTCGTAACGGAAAGGGTTAAGAGAGAGCAGTTTGTGTTTTTGTGTTCGTCGGCAGTCGTGAGGTCATGTGGGCAATGGGTGCAAGCCGGCAAGAGGAACCAGCATGGGGCACGAATGTAAGGTAGCGGTGGGAGTGATGCGTTAGTGGTGGGAGCCATGAGGGGGCAGGAGTAGGAGGGGGGGTGGGGGCTGACCTTTGAGCCGTCGCTTGAGCACTGCCTCCTCCAGTCTGCTGCACTCGATCTGCTCGTCCAGGTTCTCCAGCAGCTGCAGACGCCCAGAGTGGTGGTCAGCGCATCCAGCAAAACACAGCACAATAGCCAGACTGAGAACAAACTCCCACCAATGCTCCTATTAACACCACTGCCTATACATGGGGGTGTCCTGGGTGGCTCAGTGGGTTAATGTGCAGGATCAGAGGCACTTGAGCCAGCATCGTTGAGATCCTGGGTTTGAATTGGGTTCTCAACTGCCTATGGTTAAACTGGGTTTTCAAGTGTAGCGATGTTGATCATCTCCGCCCAGTCGCCACTGAACATACAAGCAAATCTATTTCAGCTCTGAGGAGTAGAATTTTTGTTTTGGTTGCTATGAGGCAAATTCTCTTTCTGGGGCCTGTGAGAAGATGTGCTATCTGGCCTACGAACGCGATTGTGTTCTGCCACGATGCGATGCACCGTTGAGTGCAATGCTTCTGAAAATAAATATCTCGATTTTCAAGGCTTCATGCTGACGTCACAACTGGAATAGAATCAGGAAAATAAAACGGTAATATTTAATTCGTGGGTTGTTTCTTCTGCAAAATTAATGTGAGGTAAGCCGGTCTGTTCGTAAAACGACTACTTTCTGAACACAGACTATGAGGCGTGCGGCCGTGTGCATCTTCAATAATAAATTCACCGTTTGAATGAATTTTAGTCAACACTCCGAAACAACAATAAACACCCAGAAGGAAACAGCTGTGGTTGTTTGTTTCCTACGTGTGATGTGGGCCCACGCGAGGTCACCGGAAACAAGGCATACTAAGAGGAACCTCTTTGTCCCAACCGTGACACCAGGCCAATTTTTTTTTATCAAACTTGGAAGGGTGACCACAAAGAGCAAAAAGACAGGGGGCAATTAATGTCGTGGGCAGTGGGCGGCAGTGCAATAAAACACAATGTCGTTCTGCAATCCCGCCCACCGTCGTCAACCCACACTGACCAGCATGGTGAAGTATGGACAAATATCCCTCGCAGCAGCCCACAGGGCGCGGGGAAGCCCTCATCCAGCAGTGGAGTGACAGAATGGGTTGATTGGATCAGCTTAATCACCAGCGGACACTCGAAAAAGTGAAAATATTCACAGCCAAAGGGACACGTTCAAGATGTGTGAGAAGTCGGGATTATGGTATGGGATGTGACTTAATGGATTAATTTCTCTGTTTCGTTATAACTTTTAGTTGTTTTTGCGTTTAGTTCATTTAATTATTTTTATTTATAAGGTTTTTAATTCGCTTGGTACTCGCTATAAATAGGATTTGGCCTTTATATATAATTAATGTAGCGCGTTGTGGGATGCAATTAGCTTGAATGATGCTATGTAAAATGAAATCATTGTTATTAATGCCGCTGAGCCCCTGTGCACGCCCACAAATTGAACCCAAATCGCCACTGCAATTGCAGCACAGTGCGTAAAAAACCACGATTTCACAACTCGACGTCTGTTGTGCACAGACACACACACACACCACGATGGTTTCACCTTCGTGCGAGCCACCAACCCCTTGCCTCCCAAGCCTTCTCATCATCCTCACCAAGTGTGCGCTGGCTGTCGGGACATTTCCGAGAGAGCGACCGCGCTCCAGCTCCAACCAGTTCAGTTGGCTCCTCGTCCATAAAAGCAAAAGTACACCCTCTGTTTAATGCCATCTTGTCCCTCCCAGCGCCCATGCACTCGCCCGGGTAGTTGTTTGGCCTAAGCGAGTAAACAGTGCTGCAGAGGCCCACAGGCTCAAGTCACACACTAAAAACCCGGCGAGATCAACATTACCCAGATTTTCCCACACGTTTACGGTCACATAATTGGCAAGGCAAAGCCTAATGCTACTTTTATAGCCTCAATTTATTTTCCCGCCCCCCTCCCCCTCCACCACTTTTATTTCACCGGGTCGCACTGTGGTTTGGAGTGCCGGGCTTGGACTGAGAGAAGGTCAAGGGTTAAAATCCCTGTTGGGAGGCCGAATCGGCTAACCCCCCCCCCCCCCCCCCCCCCCCCCCAAAAAAAGTGCCACAGCTTTGCGGGGAAGTCAACAAGTAGTCGTCCAATTGAGAGCACGGTCTCTGCCATGGTAATATGGAATTTCCACCGCTGGGTGTGGGGTTACCAAATGAGATGAATTGCAGCCCAATGGCACGTTTGCGCGGGGAGACACTTTGATTTGAGAAGAACTTTGACTCAAGATAAACCTTTTGTCTTCTCAGCCAGAGAGGACAGAATTGTCCCAAGCTACAGTCGCCATCTAGAGGCAGCATAGGACAAGGCAGGGGTGGCCAAGCAAACAACAGCGAGAATCCACCCGGCAAAAATCTCTGACCTGGGGGGCCCGTCACTATGACCCCTGACCAAGTGTTTGTGAGTAACGGCACAACACGTATCCCATTTTACCAGCACACGGCAGACTTACCTCCCAATTTCCCATCGTTCACCTCAATTTGTGAGCAGTGGGATTCATGTCGGTTGAGCGAAGCACTTAACGAAATCGAAGATGACCCAAAACGACCCACACCGGCATTTTAACTCGCGACCTTTCGATCGTGAGCCAATGGTTCAAATATCGGCGCCACCCGGCCGGATCACTGTTCGCATAACCTACGTCCGCGATTGGGGTAGTCAACGGTGGTCGTCCAATAGACCGGAATTGCCACTGCTGCCTCAGAGGACTGTCAATGGAGACGAGTGCTGACACATTGCTCGTCAAAGCAGGGAGACACGACGACACGACTTTAATGCGCAAGCCTGTGTCATCACGTACACCTCCGTGTCAGCAGTGTGTCGCTGTATCCACCCTGGCGCGGTGCATGTTGCCGCTCGTGCTCTCGGCACGCGCACACACGAGCCGGAAGGCGCACAGAATGAACGTGGCGATGGTGGAAGCGTGCGCAAGTGACGGCATCTCACCCGCGGCTTCACCAGCAGCTGACCCGTCACCCCGAACATCCGCGACAGGCCCAGCGGCGTGCACACTGCGCGTCAAACAAGAAAGATCAGAAAGATCCCACGCATAGCCTTAAAAGACTGTTGGGGCAAGTGCTGTTAAGCGAGCACCTATGAAGACTGGGGTTAGTGGCCAGCACCATGCCTGGCCGCCTTTGTCTCCCAAGGAGCGATGTTTACGCACCACACCAGGTACTCATTTGAGGCCGAGTCGACAACAACCACAACCGACATTCGCCACTAAGTGGCAGAGACGTCACCACGACGCTTGTCCCAGGCTATGTGCACCTTGAGGCCACGTGAAGTGTTGAACGCCCGCTGGCAGGAGGTCACGGGGCAGACCCAGGTGCCATGGGTCGACTGACTGAGATGACTGAGATGACTGGCTGATGCACCACCTGTGCCCCCTACTGTGCCAAATTTCTGTGCTTTAGCCACCCGGCGCTCTGCTCGTTGTTGTGAGCGTCGCTCCTCCGCCCTCCGTTATTGTTGGAGGGCGACTGCCTCCAACTGCCCAGTAGCGTCCTTCACGAGCCTCCGCCACTGAGGCCGATCTTGACACCGCTGGTACCAGTTATCGGCAAGTCCACTCAGCTCCACGTCCATTTAATCCCCTCTTTCTGACCGAACAAAAGCTGTTTAGGCATGTGGTGGCTGGGCATGCGGGCTACATGACCCAGCCAACGCAGCCTTGCCTGCCGGAGGAGCTCACCGATGGGACTTTTCCCAGATCTTTCAAGAATTTGTGAGCTCCTCTCACAATCCAGCCTGGTTAAACCCAGGATGGATCATAGGCTGGCCAGCCTAAATGTTTCTAACCAGCGAAGATGATCCATTAGGGGGGTCCACGTTTCGCAAGCGGGACCCCCTAATGAAACATCTTCGCCGGCTGAGTTGACCCACGCACACACATACACAGCAGCAGCACAAGCAGCTCGTAAGCGCTGATGGATCTAGATTTAAAAGTACATCAGTCCAGTATACTTTCTAATATCAAAAGGAAGAGCGTTCCAGATGGCTGCAGAAGCGCATCTAAAAGCACACGATTCAATGACCGTCTTTATTCAATGCTTAGCCAAAAGCCACTGCGAGGATGCTCCTTGAAGGGATCGGCAAGCTACTGTGGTTCATGGTTCATTTGTGGCAAGCACTTGGTGTGTAATGAGTGGTGCAAGAATGCAGGGGTGGTAATGGAACTGGGTGGCCAAATTGTTCGCACGTCACACTTTTGGACCAAAGCGGTGCGAGCACCTGCAGTGCGGAGAAGCCGGCGGTGGGGGTGACTTACCCAGCAGCAGGAGCACCCCAAAGAGGGAGATGCAGGAGTAGAGATAAGGCAGGTAGAAGTCCCACAGGCCTAGGGGCAAACACAACACTTCTTAACATGTAGGTTCTCGCAGACAATTTTACGATTCACAATTGATTTTTGGGTTAGGTCATATCATGATCTGGGAAATCTTGTGTCAGAAGAGCCCCCACCACCCGACACAGACAAACAAATTAAATTGTGAAGCAAGACAATTATGATTGTGTCTGTTTGCTGGTAAGTTGAAGAGCAATTCTCACAACCAAATTGATCAATTAGATTTGAGGTTTTTCTTTAAACTCCATCAATAACCTTTGTTCTTACTTCCTGGATCAATTGACCTCTGGTCCATACTTCCCACTCACTACATTTGCGAGTGAGGTTCATCACATGACAGTGAAACCGACATTGGAATTCTCACAGCTCGAATTAAGTGCAGTAGCAAATTTAACACAACGATTCTTCTTTCGTGCAATAATTGGTCACCGGGTTGAGACCATCAATTTGCTACACTTGAGAACAGAGTTGGTTGAATCAGGCAGCCGTCTGGATTCGAAACCCAGGACCTCAGCAGTGGCAGCTCAGCGCTCTGACGTCTGAGCCACAAGAATTGGGTGTGAGGTCAACGATTGTGTGCGAGGTCAACTAGTGCCTCACCGCGTCGGGACTTGGTGCTGGCTGGATCCTTGTCGATGATGGATGACGCCACCCACACCATGCCGAACACGAGCAGCACCAGGAGGCACAGCACCACGGCTGCCTCGTACACACGGCCCATCACTCCCTGCAGCAACATGGCACACAGACTAAGACATAGATCCTCTGTGAAGCCTTAAAATACTGTTGGGGTAAATGCTGTTAGCGAGCACCTATAAAAGCCGGCACGGCACACGAGGAGGTGAGTGGCCAGTACCACGCCCAGCCGCCTTTGTCTCCCGAGTGGAAATATTTACACACTGCACCTGGTACTCATTTGAGGCCGAGTCGACCTAGAGGAGGCCCAGAACCGGTTTAGATAATTGTCACTGATGGTGTTGGCGGTGGGGGGGGGAAGTGATCTTTGTGTTTTGTGACGAGTGGACTGACCTTGCGGGAGCCAGTGAAGCCCTCGGACTCAATGAAGAAGTAGGCGAATGGCATGAGCAGCACCAGGGAGAGGTTGGAGCACAGGAAGACCAGGTTCCACAGCCCTGGGCAGACGACAGCAGAGAGAGCCTCCGAATAAGACGATGCACCCCCAACTTTCAGTTTATGTGGGAAAATAGTGCATTGAATAATTGAGGGAATATGTTACGTCGAAATTTAAAGAACTTCAAAGGAGTGCGACTTGATTTTATTATTCGGGGTGACGGGTCAATTGGCATCGTTGATAGTTTTAGCTGCATTTTGCATTTTGCTCAAACGCAATGCTTCGATTGTAATCAATAAATACATAAGACATCGCTATCGTACGATGATTTGAATGTTACTTCTCTGTCACATGGAGCTTGTGCAGCACGGGAGGCGAGTGCACGCAACCCCTGGGTATGGTGGCACTCACCCGTGATAGTGCTTTCAAAGTTGGATTGGTGGATCATGCAAAGATCATAACTTTACTGGGCCTCTCCAGCTGTTGCGCTATTAGTTGGCCAGGAGATGGCAGTAAAGCATGTGGGTGCTGTCTATTTGAACTTTGTTGTCTCCAAGTTTTTTCCCCGCTGGTTATTCCATTGCCTCCCGCGCACAAAACTACCAAACATTCCGACGCGGGACGTTGAAAAAACTCCTCCACTGGGTTTAACCGCGAGTCGCCCGCGGTGCGGCGTTCATGTCGTGGCCATCACGGCAGGCAGGGGCGTGGGCGAGCGTGGTGCACGCGGCCGGCCAGGGGGCGACTATACGCAAGAGAACCACGCGCGCGCGCGAATAAACCGTGCGAGCTAACGCGAGCGAGAGAGTGCACCGTGCGAATAAGTGAACCGCTCACGAGTGAGCACGTGTACTGTGTGAGCAAGCGAATGAGTGCATCATGCGAGCAAGTGAACCACTCATGAATGAGCGACTGCAGTGTGTTGCTCGAGTGAGTGAGCGAGTTTACCGTAGGAGTGATCGAGAGCGAGCGTACCGTGCACGAGCGAGCCGTTGAGCCACTGCATGTAATAGTTGTGCGGGAGCGACAACAGCACCTCGTTGCTGACAATGGAGAAGGGTAGCAGCAGGGCAGCCGCGAGGGACACTGCCAGCGTGAAGGTGCACATCCACAGCCTGCGAGTGCACCAGCACGTGTGGCAGACACCACCGATAGGATTATTACGACAGCACAACATTGCCAAGACGGCACAGAATTGCCACGACAGCACAACATCGACACTGAGAATGCATTCAGCGTCTAGCTGTGACCGCATCGGTCACTAAGGAAGGTACCTGCACTGTGAGATCATGGGAGAAGAGAAGGGGACATGGTTAATTTTAGAAAATGGTTAAGATTAACAATGCACCTTTTTGCATACTATTATGCTGTCAGATCATGCAACAACATTCTATACGCTCGAATTCTATGCAATGCAATGTCACCATCAGCACCAAAAGTCATGATCAATCGACTGTTGGATGAAGGCCTCCCCCCAAGTCGATGCCATATCTCATGGCCTTGAAGTGTAATATTCCACAGGGCCACCCACACACCATATATTAATTGGAGGCATTATATTATTGTTATTTACAATCCTGCTGTGGCAGTGCACAGTTGTGTGCAGGCCATGCACAGATGCAGGCCATGCAGAGGTTCAGGCCATGCACAAGTGCAAGACATCCCGTGGCACTACTAACGACTGCGCTGGCCTCTCCCATCCTCGTGCACATTTAACACCACCTGCTCCAGGCGGTAGTGTTGTTGTGCACTGATAAAGTCGCCGTACTGGTTTCTCCAGTTCACCTTTTGCCAATTGTTTCCCTTGCTTGAATGAGTTATATTGGTGGTTAAAAAGCTCACATTTTGAACTTATTTTGCACCTTACGTAGTCAACCGTGACAATCTGAGGTGTGAACATGGAACTGAATAAAGATGCACTCATGTCAACGGTGGCTGTACTGAGAGCATCCAATCTCTCTTTTAAAAAAATTAGTGAAATCATAGATGATCGCAAACCAGGCTTTGAACCTACAACCTCAGAGCAGGTGGAGGCTCAAGTGCACAGAGAAGAGGATTAAAAGCTCCCAATGACACCCGTGCCACACCAAAGCTTCATCGTAGATGACCGGGCGTGTGTCCTCAAAGTGAAATCCACGACTTCTTCCGAAAACAAAATTATCCAAAGTGCTACGTAACCTTGCCACAAGATTCCCGTACATGATGTTCCTTTTTAAGCTGCGACGTGGAAAGCACTGCGTTTATTACTCACGCGATTCTGTTCACCATTGCATCTTCATCATCTCCTGCAACACAAGGCACACTGGTGTTTACGCAGGATAATAAAATGCAATGGTTGCGGCGCATGCGTTAGGAGACACCTCGATGGTCACGGCCGGCTCTCGTGGCATGTGTTGTGAACGCTGCCCGTTTCTAAATGTAGCCCGCGATGTGTAGAACGGCAAGACCAGGCGCAGTCATGCCCCGGCATCGTGGTGCACTTCAGCAACAACTTCACAGGGAATTCGTGGAAGAGGGAACACTCATTTTCATTTGACTTATTAATAGCGGATGGGTGGAGTGGTGGCGGAGTGGTTAGTGCACTATGCTACGAATCTAGCAACATGAGTTTAGATTCTCAGCCACGGCTTAACAGCATGGTGATCTTAAAGGTGCATTGAAAAATGTTGATACTCCGACTGATGCTCCTACTGTTGTGGAGTGACTCATGCAGCCAGCTATGGCTGGAGAGTTTGGTAGTACATGTTGTTTACGTCGTTTATTGTGAAAATTCGGTCACAGTTCCTATGACCACTGTTTCATTGCTTTTATGGCTATATTTTGGTGATTTTGGCCATGTTTGTTTGTTGTAGTACAGAGTTAGACTGATGGCCTAAATCTAAGTTGTCTTGTGGTTGTTGTTGTTTGACTTGCATCCCACTGGGATTTTTGCACACAGTGTTGGTGTACGGTGCTTTTTCTGCAATATTTTGCTGTCTTTTCTTGGATTTTCTGTTTGCACATAGTCACTATAAGATGTATTCTTGTTCATGTTTTTGTTTTTTGTTTGTTGCGGTTGCACCCGATTCAAGAGCCGAATGGCTCACAGGGCTATACCTAATAAATTACTGTAACTTGAACTTGAAGGATAGTCAAACCCCCCACTCCATGGGAATGCCTTCATCCAGCAGTGGATTGACATAGGGCTGTAAATTTTTTATAACATATCTCTAATTAAATTTTTTTTTATTTCAATATAAAAATTATGAGAATTTCCTATAAAACCTTTACAAAATGTTGGCATCCCTCGCTGTTAGTGGCTGCCCCTCACATATAACACACTACTGCCTAGTAACACTGCTTTAACGACCAGAGCCTCTCAACTGAAGTCTGCTTTGCTGAAACAAAGACACGGCCTGCAATGATAACAATGTTGAATTTCTACTTTGTGTACGCAGGCTGTGTGCCCGGGGCTGTAAAACACAGGCTTGCAGCTTCTTAAGTGAATACAAATACACCATTGTTACGGTCACGTAGGTCAGCAGGACACTCCAGTGACGTCACTGTGATGCCAATCCCGTGCATTTTAAAGTCAATTCAGTGACGTTACTTCAGTGACGTTACTCGAGTACCAAGATAGAACACCAGAGAGTGAATCACAAGCATTCTGTTTGCCTTTCGCAAAGCTGAACGAGAAACGCCGAACCCGCCCAGGATGCTCAGTCGAGTACACATCTACACAGCACTGTGTTTGACTGCGGCCACATCTTACTTTCAGCAAAGGGTATTAAAAAAAAAAACCATCGGTTCAAAAGATCCACGTTATTTAATTTGGGAGGCAAAACAGAAACATTGTACGTTTATTTCTGTATTATAGAGCCATCAAATCAGTCAGGCCCAACTTTTATCAAAGTAACCGCTGCACGTAACCACCACACTGCCGTGGACATCAATCTCCGTCAGTAATCAAGGGGACCAGTGAAACAAGATCGCTCTTGTTGTGCGGTGGGGCAAGAAGGCAAGACAAGAAGGCTTTCCACTAAAGCGGCACCTTCCCTGTTAAACCCTCCGGGGGTCCTGGCAAGCACCACGCACATAGTGGCCTCCACTGGGTGAGGGGGGGGCTGTTGCTCTGTGAGCATGCGTGCCGCGACGGTGGGGATAGGCGAGGCGAGCGTGGGCCACATTTTCTGGCTGTTTATCACCAATTCTCTTCCAAGACGACGTCCCGGTCAGCGTGGAACAGTTTTGATCAAATATCCCTCCAGAGGGGCGCTCTACAGAACTCCCTCGAGCAGAGTCCCTGCTGCCACCAGTGGTGTGAGAAAGTAAGCAAGGGCAGGGTTTGCACCATCCACCTTTTTTAATCACCGAGTGTATCCCAAATTCACTTAATCATCGTGCAATGAGATTAAGAAACTTTCTTCGCAACGAGTGGTGTAACATCACCACTTCATGTAAGAGAACGGTCCCTGTAACAGAAGGCATCACAGAACTACTTCCGAAAAAACCAAAGAGTATATTTCAAAAGTGGTTTATCACCTGGAATATTCTGAATTAAATAAAAAAATCAATTTTATGAGGTGCTTTCATTTTTGAGTGGTGTCCAGATATGAGCCCAGTACCACAACAGCACCGGCTCAGGGCTCTGACATGCCATAGACTCCTGAATTACCCAACCACTTCACATACAAGATTTCAAAAAGGTAATGTAGTAAAAATGTTATACAATTGTTTATTTTATTCAGCAGTCGGTGGGTGACCAGGTTGAAATCTTCAACTTGCACCATTTAAGAACCTGGTTTAATCAATGGTGGTTAAAACCCCAGATTCGAATCCCGAATCCCAGCGAACTTGGCAGAGCGTTCCGACATGGGACATTCCGAGCTCCTGCCTGGGCTGCCCTGCAACCTCACAGGATGTCCTTTTCGGGACAGTGATGGATTGGAGTGTGCCATGGTCGTGCTCCAGCACAGCATCTCAGATTGTCGCGGTGTCAGATTAGCAGACGCTGGCCAGTACTGCGACACCTCAGAGCAGGCAGCAAACCGACATGCGTCAGCAGTGACGCTCGCACAGGCAGCTGGGTGCCTCGGAGATCGCAATGACCCCATCAGGCATAACTGCGCCTGCACTGCTCTGTGCCTGGGTTCAACACGGTTGGGGGAGGGGGGGGTGATGTTTAAGCGTGTGTGATAAATCCAGCTTCTTGAGTGCAGTGAGCCAAAGGTCATCGCGACCGATGCCGGATGCTGTCAATAACTACGGTACCTTGCCATTGCTTCCTTCCTTCTGCCAGTTCCCACAACTGTTGTACATTAACGACACAACCTCCGAGGTTGGTTCTTACAGTCTGCTGCCAAATGTAATGAGGGTATTCCCCTTGGTTGCGGACCCCGAGGTGCCACTCCAATGCCATCTCGTAATACCTGCCCTCCTCCGTTTTGTAAGCATATCCCTCCCATCGCAGCCCCCTCTTCTTCCTGTTCACATCTACAACACTTATTGCCACGTCCTATTATAAAATGTATGAGTTGTGTAACCCCATTCGTAACGTGTCTGTTTTGGCGCATTAACGCTCCTTGGACTTTACAATGCAATGTGATTGTCATAAAGGTATCACTGTGCGCACAGCGCAATACAGCCGCTGAGATGTGAAAGGTAGAGGTTTGGGAGGGTGTTTCACCACCCGTGGTCCGCCTTGACCAGCAACTCACCCAGAATGAAGTCGGTCCTCTTCTTGAACCGGGTGATGATCAGGTAGGAGGTGATGTAGAGGAACGTAAACAGCAAGAAGCAGATCTGAAACACAATGGAGATGAGATGCTTCATGCAAGTGGTCGAAGACCGAGACACCGTTGAGATCACGAGTACAAAACGGTTAATATATATTACAAAATAAAAACTAACTATTTTTTATTTTACCATGTAAGGGCCACTGAACTATATAGCTCTTTTTCAGAAGCAACCTGGCCACAAATGAAAGCCAATTAAGTGGCTCATCATATGGAAATTTGTAGCAGCCAAATACTGTTAATGCATACTCTTTGGGTCTTTTGGTAAAATCACATAGATAGAAAAATAAGACAAAATCACGACGTTTTGATCACAACGCAAGCAGGCGAACTCAGCAGTTCGCCTGCTGTATTTTTTCACCTGAAGACGATTGCCTGTGTTGCGATCGTAACGTCGCGATTTTATTTTTTATTTTTCTATCTACGTGACTTTACCGAAAGACCCAAAGAGTATGCATTAAGAGTAATTGGCTGCTATAAATTTCCATATGATGAGCCACTTAATTGGCTTTCATATGAAGGCAGGCATGGCACACGAAGCGGGTGGGCGGCCAACACCAACGCCCGGCCGGCTTTGTCTCCCTCGTGGCGATGTTTACACACCGCACCAGATACTCATTTCAGGCTGAGTCGACCGAGGGGAGGCCCAAGACCGAGTCAGATAATTGTCACTGGTCTTGGCCGTGAGCGGGAATCGAACTCGGGTTAGCCGGGTTAGGAGTGCATCGCGCTGACCATGACACTCGGGGCCGTCCATAAATGACGTCACGCGATTTTGGACGATTTTTGACCCCCCCCCCCCCCCTCGTCACACGGCGTCACAAAAAGTCAGACCCCCCCCCTCAAATATGACGTCACGAAGCTCTTCCCCCCCCCCTCAAAACATGCTTCAAATCGCTTTAAACTATTGTCATTGTAGTGCGTATTTAATGTGGCGCTGCACTCTGATGTTGTAGGAGAGAACATTTATTAAAAAGTATATTTAACTAAGTAAAACGTGTTGTCTATATTTATTTAAAGTTGCGCATTTTGATGTGACGTCACATTTCTCACCCCCCTCCCCTCGTCACACATCGTCACAAATGCCTGACCCCTCCCCCCCCCCCTAGGTGCGTGACGTCATTTATGGACGGCACCCGACCGCTCCACCCAATCGCAACACGTGCAAACGCAACAGACGCACGTGAAGGCAAGGCTACAGCACGTGTGTGCACGTGCACGTTGCCCTTTGCAGGTGGCGGATAAGACGTGGCAGGGCCCCCGAGTAAAGGTCAAATAGCAGCGGTGCGCGCCCATCCCCTCGCCTCGGGGCCAGCGGCACCTTGGATATCCCCCCCCCCCCCCCCAATGCCTCGCCAGCCTCCCCAGCCACAACAGCGATACTGGGCAACCTGCCCGCACGCCTGCCGCGTGGCGCTCGCAACATTCTTCATTAAATAACGACCGCGGTGGCGCTGCTTGCAGAGTGCTCAGACTCTCAATCGCAAGGGTGCGAGTAATCGAATCCCGTTCGCTCGGGGAGGGGTGGGGGGGTATGATCTCGGCCCTTCATCCCCTCCGTTGCTTTTCGTGGAGTCAGAATCAGAATGTGTGTTTATACACTGGAGGAATCCGACGAGCTCTTTTTTTCACAGATGAGGGGGTGGCGTGTCTGACACAATACCGCCGACTGATCCTCATACAACCACAGCCGGTACATCATGTAAGCACGAGTCTATCTACATGAGGTGCAGGACACGGATTGCTTGTGTGTATACATCGGCGCGCACTCCCGTTCCCATGCGTCCACCGACCATCGTGCACCATCGCGCACATCGGTGGCGTTTGGCTTTGCCGAGCGCAGCGCTTCATCACTCCCGGGAAATCGTTGGGTTTGTTTTAAATCCGATACGGTCAACGGACCTCATCTCGAGGATGTACGATTGCCAGGGTCAATACGAGTCGGGCTTGCGCGTCGTGGGCTCAACAAAACAACAAAAAACGAGCCTTGCACGCTCCTCTGTCCGCGACCGATGACGGACGTGGATAAAGCACGGACGAGTGCGCTTCAATCGCGCTGGGGGTCGCGAAGGGGTCCCTGGAATTTCATATTCCACAGTCGTGATTTTGGTGGACCCAGTTGCTGACCAGGATTGCGAGGATGTTAAATTCGGTGACCCGGACAGATGTTTGAATGCCAGATTGTGTATTTGTTTGGCCAGGTTGTGGTATTGTTGGCCATGTCAAGAATGCTCTTTGGTTCCTTCGGTAAAGTCACGTAGGTGAAGATAATAAAATATGAAAGCTAAATTAAATCATGACGTGTCGGGCGCAACACAAGCGTCCTTCATCAGGTGGGGACCACCACAGCGAAAACAATTGCTGAAGTATGCCAAAGAGATGGCTGTAACAAGGGATTATATAGCTGAGGGAGCAGGGGGGGGGGGGTGAGAGAATGCCAGATTGTATATTTGTTTGGCGAGGTTGTGGTATTGTTGTCCATGTCAAGAGTGTACAGATAGCCCTCGATTTATGGACGTTCGTTTTACAAAATTTCGCTTTAATGCAAATGACAACTTATGGACGCTTTTAGATTAACGAAATCGCTGTTCCATGTGAACGGAATTTCACATTGCACGTGCCATGAGATCAAACAAGAAGCAGAAGGCTGCATCATCCATCCACGACATAGTCACGGTATCCCTGCTGTGCAACAGTAACGCCTCCACATCACATTTAATCAATCTTGTTGACAAACATTCCCGATAATGCCATCTAAGGCTGCCACGTAATTTGATTGTGACATATAAATGACACAACATTGAAACATGTGCATAAATAATACCTTTTTTACACGCTTTTATTCAACTGTCGTATCCTCGAATCTTGTAACTCAATTTTAACCCACTTCCCAATGTGGTATCGACTGCAAACTTAGTATACTTATGTCTAACTAATGACAATACTATATTCTATCATTAAAATTTAAAAATATATATTTTTAAACCATTTTTTAATGTTATGTTTCGCCTTGGCTCTAATTGTCCACGATCAACTGACGTTGGCTGTAAATCACCACGGTCCCTTACGTTATGTCAAGCTTCGGGGCCACTTTCTGGAGTCGTGGAGTTTTTCCATTACTCGTACGGTACATTTCATTAAAGCGTTTTAAAAAAAAGTATTTTAAAATATTACTTATTTCGAATACATTTACTGATGTAACGACGCAACAGTCATTGCATCTCTAAGAACTCCCCAGTTCCAGGCAGTGCTCATTTTCATTGGCGGTCTTAGTGGTGGAAATACCACGCATTTTCGGCAGGAATCAATGTCTCAACACAACTGTTAGTGCCCACAAATTGTTACTCATTTTATTCACCTTGAAAGGGTCAAGGATTATGAGCTAAGCCCGACAGCATAATTAAATAACAACCTTCAGATTGTGAATCGGGGGTTCTAAGCACAGACTCACTGTTATTCTGCATGCTTATCTAACAGCCTCCTTGCTACAGGCTACAGGACCGCACAGCCGGCGAGAGACACGCTTGCCATCTGCTCTTACACTGGAGACGTTTCAATGGACATCGACAGTGCAGGGTCCACCCAACACGTGCTGGCAGGCGACGCTCGCTTGGAGCACGGATTTTTATGAGACGGCGGCGGCGGCGCGTGCCAACAACCCAGACAAGGCTCGGCACAAGTTTGATGGCAGCGTGCACGCCCGTGTGTGTGTGTTTGTATGTATGTCGAACGGTGGCCGTAGTAGGAAGCGGTGGCCGTAGTGGGGAGCGGTGGCCGTAGCGGTCAGCGCTACGCTGCGCTACGACCCGAGTTCGATTCCCGCTCACGGCCAACACCGGTGTTAATTATCTGAACCAGTCATGGGTCTCCCCTAGGTCGCCTCAGCCTTGAGTAACCCGGTGTGGTGTGTAACCATCGTCACTGGGGAGACAAAGGCGGCCGGGCGTGGTGCTGGCCACCAAACCCTCTCGTGTGCCGTGCCGGCCTTCATAGGTGCTCGCTAACAGCACTTGCCTCAACAGTCTGTTATGTCTATGCGGGGGATCTTTGTTTTGTATGCCAATAAGTGCGGAAAGTGGTAGCGTAGCAGTTAGCGCATTGTACTACAAACCCGGAGACCCGAGAGCGATTCCAAGCAAAGGTTAACATCAGCGGCAACTGATATATAAATCGCTCCTGGGCTTCCCCTAGGTTCACTCAGCCATAAATGAGTACCTAGGTGCGGTGTGCAAGCATCAGCATCGGGGTGACAGAGGCGGCCAGGTGACGTTCTGGCCACACCCAAACCCCTCTTGCCCCTTGCAGGCCTTCATAGGTGCTCGCCAACAGCATTTGTCACAATAGTGTGTGTGTAGGCTGTATGGTTGACCTTTGGCCTTGCTTGCAACCAATGTTGGGGTACAAATGTGTGCGCGAGTGTGATAGCTTGTGTGCCTGTTGTTTAGCGGTCAGTACACATTACTATAAACTTGGAAATGTGGCCTCAAATATGTGCTATAATGCACATTATTTATTTTTACCTACGTGACTTTACCAAAAAAACCTGAGAGTATGCAGAGCACCAGTTGCGTTTAGTTCCTGAAATCTGATCTGGGCCTCTGCTAGTTTCATTCGGCCTCAAATGGGAACCTGGTGTATAATGTCAACAGTGGTGCAAATTCAAAAGCGACCAATTGTCGGCCTTGGTAGCTGTTGCCCTTACTGTCTATGACGTTACATGGGAGACCCCGTCTCTGTCAATACACTCTACACGCGTGTGTGTGTGTGCATAGGTGTGCGTGCATGCAGCTTTTGTTCAGCTGGATAGAGGGGGATAAACGGGCGCGGCACGGGCTGGAGAAGAGACGGAGTGATGTGGTACAAGAGGATGTGGAGCTGAGTGGACTTTCCCATGACTGGTACCAGCGGTGTCAAGATTGGCCTCTGTGGAGGAGGCTCGTGAAGGACGCTGCTGCTACTGGGCAGTTGGAGGCAGTCGCCCTCCAACAACAACGGAGGGCAGAGGAGCGACGCTCACAACAATGGGCGGAGTGCCGGGTGGCTAAAACACAGCAAGTTGGCACAGCAGCGGGCACAGGTGGTGTGCGCCCAGCCATCTCAATCAGTTGACCCTTGGCACCTGGGTCTGCCCCATGACCTGCCAGCGGGCGTTCAACACTTCACGTGACCTCAACATGCACGTAGCCTGGCTAAAGCGCCGAGGCGACGTCACCGCCACCTCGTGGCGAATACCGATTGTGGTGGTTGTGCATGTGTGCATTGCCCATTTTCTTCCTCTTTCCTCGCCACTTTACCCCTTCCCTCCCCTACCCTTTTGTGATCCCTAAGTATCCCTCTATCGCTGTCATTCATTCCTCAATCCATGTACGCCCCTGTCAGCTACATCATTCCATTCTGTCATCGTATTTTAAGCTACGTCAAGCACCTTGAACGAAGGCGCTCTATAAATAAAAATTAGATTAGATGCAGTGTTTATCACACTACGCTACAATCTAAGCATTGTCCATGCACAGCGCTAGTTGGCAAATTGTCAACTGAACCTGGATGGGATTCCAAGTACATAACATCCACTGTGTTAATCTCCATTTTGTACAGTGCCGATATGGCGAAACGGAAATTGTTATTTCTGCAAAGCCATTCGTGCTAGCAATATGATAACGGATGCCACCGTTTTATAGCAGAAGGCCTCACAGTTTAGGACCTGAGCAATATTCAAAGGAACTAAAATATTTATATATAAAAAGTGAAACGCTAGTAGTTGGAATGCCACACGTTTCTATGGCCAGGATCAGTTCTTCCACAGGACCACTGTTGACTAGACTGGAGGGTAACTACAGTAATCATTTCATGAAACGGAATGGTATGACGATAAGACTCCCGCATGGGACTAGAATATCAGGTCCCAACTGCGAATCCAACGCTCAAGGCACAGCAACCACCTGGCCAAACGCACAGAGAAACATGTGTCCTGTATAGCCTGTGTTATCTGAACCATTGGCAGTCATTACGGTCGCATTGAAGCATCAGTTGAAGCAGTTTCCCTCACGGTTCAGGCATCGAGATGTGTGTTCAGTAACTGGTTATTTCCTCTTTACGTGACCAAGTGTCAAGTTGATTTGTTTAACCAGGTGAGAACTCAAGAAACTAGGATGACTCTGATTTGCAAAAGTGAGCTGGGTATCAATCACCCACACGGTGTGGAAGACAGCATCGTTGCAGTAACATCACTAAAAGTGGGACCGAAAGTCAACTTTACATCGATATTTTAGCGATCGAAGCTTCAAACTCATGATGGGCGATCGCCCAGGACAAACTGCCGAGGCATGCGGCTACAAGATATGCGCCGTTTGCCCCTTTTCGCCCGAACAGCTTTCTGGTGCAATTAACAGTTGTTTCCCGCAAACTTGCCCTCCGGATATGTTTCACGACATTACTGTTGAAAAAACTACACCTCATCTTTAGCCTCTCTCTTCCAGGATGTCTCTGTACCGCTGGGCCAAAAGCGCATGTGCAAACAATGGCGCGTTGTGTAATAAAGGCAATTCTGTATTTACCTCACGGAACATGCTTTCGTAGGAAAAACATAAATAAACAATATTCCGTACCTCGTTCACACATTTATCTCTAGCAGCATGGCCTTCTGGGAGCGCATAATTTCAGAAGTATATTTTGTTACTTCTACTGTATTCTCCACAACACCTATGATTACACTATGTAACACAATTTTTGTTCCTGGGTAGTAAGTGTTATTTACTAATTGCTTATGCCTAAAAAGTATAGAAAATGGCTATTATTCCCCACAAACTTTTATTTAGTGACCAGGACATTTTGAAATTTACCAATTTTCAACGAGAAAAGGGGTGAATTTGTCTCTTTTCATTCGTAAAAAGTCAGAAAAAAACAACATATGAGTCAAAATGAACACGTATTTACTACAAAAAATTTAGAAGTGAGTAGTTTTTCGAGATTTAAGGATTATACTGTAAATCACTATCACGAATCTGTCCCCAAATGTAGTCTCCCATCATGTTCTCGTTATACTGTCTTTGGTAGCGGCGTTCAAAGTCCAGTATATCCTGGTGGAAGCGCTCGCCTTGCTCCTCCGAGTACGCTCTCATGTTCTTCTTGAATTGATCAAGATGAGCATCAAGGATATAGACTTTGAGGGACATTTTACAGCCCATTGTGCCTTAGTTCTTCACCAGAGTCTCAACCAGCTACACATAGTTTTCGACCTTGCGATTGCCCAGGAAGCCACGAACCACTGCGACAAAGCTGTTCCAAGCTGCTTTCTCCTTACTAGTGAGCTTCGTGGGGAATTCGTTGCACTCCAGGATCTTCTTTATCTGTGGTTCGACGAAGACACCGGCTTTGACCTTTGCCTCAGACAGCTTAGGGAAGAAGTCTTGAAGGTACTTGAGGGCTGCCGACTTCTTATTTACAGCTCTGACAAATTTTTCACAAGGCCCAATTTGATGTGCAGTGGTGGCATCAGCACCATTTGGGGGTCCACCAGTGGCTCCCACTTGACGTTGTTCCTCCTGAGCTCCACCTCTGTAATTTTCATCTGGATCTACATCTTCCTCCCTCTCTGACTTGCTGCTCTCTTCTGAAGATGGCTGTTCTCTCTCCGGAGGAGTGGGTACGGGGAGCTCATGGCAGTGTGGCACCAGGGCGATGGATGAAGGATGGTCCGGATACGTGATAGCAGGTGCATTCTTGCCAGTCTGACGTTTGGAAGGGTCCACCATGCAGAAGTAGCAGTTGCTTGAGTGGTCAGTGGGTTCCCGCAAAATTCTTGGGCTAGCGAACTTCATGGCTGTCTTTCCCCCTCTGTACCATCCTACAAAAATACATTTATTTCACCCATGACTAATGTGTAAGAGATTCTCGCAACATTTTTCATGTATATATTTTTTCAATAACATTGAAAATTGTAAAACGTTTTAAAAGTAAAAAACTTTTACAATTAAAATGTTTTTAACACATTGAATAACATAAAATTCCAAGCAACAATTGTACATCTTACCTTCCAGAGTGTTTTGCATTGCTCGCAGGTGAAATGAGGTGCCCAGGGTTTGTCTTGATCCCCGACAGGCATGCCGAAATATGCCTTGTAGGCCTCACCCATCTTAGCAGATGCTTCCACAGAGTACTCTTTCGCTCTTGCCTTGATAAATTGGCCGCAGACATAGCAAAATGCGTCTGCCGGATGCTTGCAGCCTCTTGATGCCATCTCAGAAAAATGCAGATACGTATCCACTTAGGGAGCTGGAACTAAACTGTATTTATACTATTATTTATATTACTGGAAAGTTATAGAATGTTCTAGAATTTACTCCAAGTTTACTGAGCACTGAATTTATCTGGAATGTTCTGGAAAATTGGTAAATTTCAAAATATCACTGTCCTAGTCACAAAATCAAAGTTTGTGGGGAATAATAGCCCTTTTCTGTACTTTTTAGGCATAAGCAATTAGGAAATAACACTTACTACCCAGGAACAAAAAATAAATAAATTGTTAGTGTTATTTTACCTCTTGCTTTCCCTGTAATTCATAGTGGACGACTGAGTTTGATGAGACCCCCATGTAAAATCCATAAAACAGTGCTTTTAAAGAAGGGAAATGTTGAGAAAAATATATATAAAATAGCAATAAATTTACATTAAGGAAACAGACCAATTTATCATTGCAATATGACATTTTAGTAGGCTACACCTGTTGCGAGCGGTTGCATCGCGATTGATTTGGTAAAAGTCAAAAGTCCGAGTGTCTCCCTCCTCACATGAGCACAGACTTGTACTCATTTCCATTGGCGATCCTGAGCCAGTGGCAAAAATTCCACATTCCTATGATGGGAGCCAGCAACTTCATGGGGCAACCACTGTCCATGTCCCACAAAGCTTTACTCATTTTGTCAACCCCGATGGAGAGATGGGTTAATTCGCCTCCCGATAAAGGTCATTAGAATTTGAACTGGCAACTTTCAAATTGTGAATTGAGCACTCTTAACACATCAATGCGATCAGATGTAATAACAGACACATTTACCAAGCCTGCAAGAAAAACATTGATGCGCAGATAAGCAAGCAAACGGAGATACCAATAAGACCGATAAGAAGACCCCAATAGGGCGATGCCAATGCGATTTGCGAAGAGGAGTCTGCCTATAAACTACTGTGAGTAAATCAGCAAGAAGAAACTGTACAGAAAATATCATTTTTCACTAATGTGGTTGCTTGCCGCAACATTGCATAATGTTTAAAGATGCAGTCATCTGCGTCAGTGCACTGTCACGAAAGATTATGACAGTCTACACTGTGCCAAGGAAGTACAAATTGTATTGTTGATGCACCAACTCTTGGGCTGGGATTGCAATGGTCCAAGTGTTTGCTTAAACCCCTCTGGCCAATGCTAATTATTAATCGAGAACACCTATCGTCAAAGAGACGTGGATGTTACCCTGTGTAAGTGTGATCTGCGCTTCTCTTGATTGGTTGGGACCAACTCAGCCCCAAACAAAGTGTTCTTCAGTTTTAAAGTCTCAAAGTGTATCCCTGCTGTAATGAGCATTGGGCGACATTTATCCCCCATTGGTGGCTGAGCCGGTGACAGGAACTGCACATTCCCATGAAGAGAGCCAGCCTATCCATCGGATAACCGCTTGATGACACGTATTTTATCGATCAAAGAATGTCAGGTCGAGATCAACCCAACTGTCATATGAACTCACAATCTTACCAAATTGTGGGATGGAGCGATCTAACCTCTCTGCCACCAGGCACTCTCCTTATTGACATAGATGTCCCTTTATACAACTTGAGGTGGTTTCCTAGGTAAATCCATCAGCAGCCATGGCCAATCCACTGCTGGAGGAAGGCCTCCCCAAGCCGCTGCCATCTCTCATGCTCGTGATGTAACAATCCACCCAGCACCTGCACACCACGAGTTGATTTCATCGTTCTAGATTTGAAGCTTTCGTGACTGCAAGGATTCATACTCTTAGTTCTTTCGGTAAAGTCACGTAGATATTTTGCTGTGACAGTTTCACCTGAAGACGGAAGCTTGTGTTGCCTCCGAAACGTCGTGATTTTTACTTATTTATTAATTTTAATTTCATTTTTTACCTACGTGACTTTACCGAAAGAACTAAGAGTATGTTTGATTTCATCGCTCCATCTCCCCAGTGGAGGTTCGCTGGGATGCATTCCAATCCTTCACTGCCACTCCATCATTTTTCTTGACCATCAGCCGCTATCCCTGCTGACAATGTTTGCTGCCCAAGCCCACTTGCTTTTCTCTCAATGCAATTCCCAGCATGCATCTCTCCATGCTTTTTCAGTTTTCGTTCAGCATTTGTCATCCAAACTCATGTGTCTGAAGCATGTGTCATCGCCGGTCGTATGCACTGATGAAGCATGTTGAACTCAAGGCCACATTGCTCTGTTACTTTTTTTTATTATGAAAATCAGCTTTCCAAAAGCATTGCAAACGGCTCTCGTCATCCACCTAATTTTTTCATTTGAAATTTGGATAAATAATCGGAGGTGGGGAGTCGGGGGATGTCACAGAGCTGGGAGGGTGTACGGGCAATATGAATTGGAAGCGAGGTCCCTGCTAAGGGGGACAGACTCTAAGTAAGTGGGGATGTGTGGTTTCATTGCTGTGTTGCGGTTTACATTGATTGCAATTGAGAGTCTGTGTGTGTGGTTTCACAATCCCGTTATTTATTCCCACGTTAGTGCATCGGCTATTGATGTGGAGGCGGCTCAATAAGATACAAGCTATATGGGTGCTTAGATGTGTTAAGGACATCAGGGAGAGCTGCTGGGAGAGTCGGGGGCGACAGACGAAAAAAACAAGTCTATGAATCCGGTGAGCATTAGGCATTCGTAAGAGTGAGAGGCCTCATTTTGGAGAAAAGCTCATTGATTCGTGCCCTTTGCTGACCCATGTGAGAGCTCGTTGAGATTCACAATTTCGCTTGGAAGAACAGAGTGCTGGACTCACAATAACCGGGTTGCAAGTTCAAATTCATGTCAGTTGTTCACCCAAGCCCATCATTCTCCTGGGGTCTACACACGGAGTATGATTTTGTGGGAAGTCAACAAGGTCGTCCTGATGAACAAAATGACCCCCGCCATGTGAATGCGTCATTTCTACCACTGGATCGAGGCAACCAATAGAGAGGAGCACTGCTTAAGTAATTAAATTAGGAGTGAGACACTTTGACTGGATTTTTGACCGTGCAGACAAGTTCACTAATGTATTTTGTGGGAAATTTTCAATGCTGCATTTTGGCTATGATGTCACTCAAACAATGATAAATGTAACGGCTGGGTTTTTAACATCTATTTCCTGACAGACAACACACTGTTACTTGCCCAAGTCGACTGCAAAATGTGACTACGATTAACAAGAAGCTGACAATGTGCATCACAGAGCGTTCCACAAACCGTTAATTTTCTTTACCCATAAAAAAAAACTTCACAAACAAACACTTGCAGATTTATGTGACAAGCGGCGATATGCGCAAAGCCCGGCCGGAAAAAAATATCGACGCGTAAACTCATCTCCAGAGCGGCACCACGAAGTTAATCTCCGTCCACCGCCGGGCTGATAAACCGTGGACGAACAATCCGTTCGGAGGTGACGCTACGGGAATTAGAGAAAGTGAGCAGTGGATCTCAGGACCGTTTCGCTCCTTCACGAGGCAGCCACCCCCCAACGCCCTCGTCCTGACTCGCCACAGCGGGCAGTGCTTTGAACCCGACAGTGGCCTCCTGAATCTGAGAACATCACATTCGAGCCAACCTTACACATTTGCCACGCAGCGTTTGACTTTTGACGTTCATCATGGGGGGGAGGAATCTATCTAACGCTTTGCACACAACTCATTTGCGCGCCTGGGCACGGTTGCGCCGCTGCAAAAAAGCAAAAAATCCCAGGTGAAATCCAAAAATGCTCGCCATGTTCATCATGAACTTGGCCCCGCAATAAGAAAAATATACCAAAGGCTAAATATTTGGGCGAAGGCTCTTCTTCAGAGCAGAGAGAATTATAATCTCTTGTAGCTGTAATGTGTGGTACTGATTTCCTTTCACACACACAAAACTCAATAATAAATTGGTCAAACATCCCATTACAGGATCCCGGTGAAAGAAACGCTCGCAACTCAAAAATAGAATACCCATGTTGCGTATAATGGGCATTTTGCTTTGTGGACATGTCCATTCCATACGAATATGGACTTTTCACCACCACCTCCTCAGGGCCTGGAAAGGAAATTAGTGCCACTGCCCCACATTCGGCGCTATGGCTGTTGATTTGACTGTTTCATATTCGTGTTTAAAGAGTGAGATTCAAATGTTGACCCAACGGCCTCAACACGTCACCTCGGGCAATTTACCTCACTGTGGGTAATGGAGACAATCTGCACAATATCATAAAAAAGGATATTTAACAAGTGAATTGAGCTCTAAAATCTACGAATGGCTGTAAACTAAACATGCGCAATGTTAGCTTAAAATGTGGTCAACCGTGCTGCATACAGTAGTTTCAGGCCAAAGTTGAATTGCAGGGGTACGTGTGTTTTATTATCTAAAATGACTTCAGCAGGAGTTCCAAGTGTGAGGTGCAGAGATGAGTGAACGTTTAAAGGGCAATGATAACATAAACAGCCACGTATGTTGGTAAAGGTTCACGAGTTCAAGGTACAGATTGCATCATCCTGTGTTCTCACACATACTTAGTAGCCTGCTTGCCCAGTTTGCAAAGCAGGAAAGTGGACCAGGCCTGGATTATTGTCACAGGAGCCTGCGAGCTGTACCCGGGCCGTGAAGCACTCACGCAGCTCCCCTTGTGAAGGGGGACTACCCCCAACCCCCTCTCTTTGAGCGAGGCCACCCTCAGACACAATCCCCACATCATGGTGTTAACAAGGAGGAGACAAGTGGCGTCAGTCCCGTCTCTCGTGTGAGGTCAACTTCAGTGCTGTGGCTTTTTGTAAACACAAAATTACCAAAAACAATATGAGCTTAAATTTCGATTTAAAGCTTTCGTGACTGCAGGGATTTATCTTCTTGGTTCTTTCGGTAAAGTCACGTAGAAGGGAAGTAATAAAATAATACTTTTTTATAAATAATAAAAAATGTATTATATTATTTTATTATATTATTTTATTATATTTTATTATTATATTATATTATTATATTATATTATTTTATTATGTTTTATTTTT